GGAGAAGCAGGAGGGTGCCCTTGGTTCAGCTCTCAAAACTCCTGGGAAAGATGATATCTTGCATGGGCATTGTCCCATGGGCCAGACTTCACTCGAGGGGGTTGCAGTGGTTCCTTCTACCCTACCAGAGGAGGAACCTCAGCACCTCCAGCAGGAGGGTATTGGTACCAGAACAGGTATTGGGGTCACTGAGATGGTGGATATCTCCCATGATACGCAGGGGGAGTATATTCAGGGAGTATATCACACTCACGACAGACGCGAGCCTATTCGGATGGGGAGCCCATCTGGGAACCCAGATAGCACAGGGCCAGTGGGACCAGAAGGACCTTTCCCACAGCATCAATTGGCTAGAACTTCGGGCCATTCATCTGGCTCTACGGCAATTCTCCCATTCAGTATCAGGAAGACACGTTCTCGTGTTAACAGACACTGTAGCAGCCAAGGCCCACGTCAACAAAGAGGGAGGTACACGCTCAGCGGACCTAATGAAGGAGGCATTGGCTTTGGCGCGGTGGGCAGAAAACAACGTCAGCTCCATCAGGGCGGAACACATCTCAGGGGAGACGAATCTCCGGGCGGACTTCCTGAGCAGAGCCAAGGTGGACCAGTCGGAGTGGCGACTGGATACGGCTCTGTTCGGGGAGATCTCTCGGAGGTTCGGGCAGACACATCTGGACCTCTTTGCCACTCACAAGAACACACAACTCCCCAGGTTCTTTTCCAGGTTCCCGACCCCGGGATCGGAAGGAACGGACGCGCTCAGATGCCGGTGGCCGGCACAACTCCTGTACGCCTTTCCACCGCTGCCATTAATACCGGCGACCATATGAAAGTTGATCCGGGAAGGCGCAGAGGTAATCTTCATTGCCCCACACTGGCCACGGCGCCCGTGGTTTGCCGACCTCGTGGATCTTTCGATATCACCCCCATGGAGGATTCCCCCGGACCGAGTAACTCTCAGTCAGGGCAAGTTTTTGCATCCAGATCCGCAGTGGCTGCAACTAACCGCCTGGCATTTGAGCGGCAAAGCTTAACCAAACAAGCTTACTCCACAGGGGTGATAGCGATCATACAAGCATCAAGAAGACCCTCCACAAACAGGATCTATGATGCTACGTGGAAGAGTTTTTGCAGGTGATGTGCCCACCTTCACCTAGATCCAACTGCAGCATCCATTCCCAATATCTTAGATTATCTACTGGAGGGACTTAACAAGGGTTTGTCAGTCAACACGATTCGCAGACAGGTATCGGCTCTCTCCACTGTACTATCCTATGAAAATTTATCCTCTCTGGCGCAACATCCAGCGATTAGCGCCTTCTTAAAAGGGGCGGCGAATACTAAGCCCCCGGTCATACACAGGTACCCGTATTGGAGCTTGTCCAAGGTCCTTCATGCCTTGACATCAGCGCCCTTTGAGCCTCTTGACTCATGCTCTCTTTACCACCTATCGCTGAAGGTAGCCTTCCTTGTAGCCATTACTTCAGCAAGGAGAATTTCGGAACTAGCAGCACTGTCAGTGAGGAAGGATTTTTGCACCTTCTTCAAAGATAAGGTAGTCCTCAGACCAGACCCTGCCTTCGTCCCGAAGGTAAACAGCATCTTCCACAGATCTCAGGAACTGATCCTTCCTGATTTCTGTCCGAGACCCAGACATGGACTGGAGCGTAGGTGGCACAAGCTGGACGTGCGTAGGGCACTGTGTTTCTATGTGAAGCGCACTTCATCTTTCCGTAAAACGGAAGCATTATTTGTTTCCTTTCAACCGTCAACCATGGGAAAGAAGGTGTCATCTTCTACTATAGGTAGGTGGATTAGGGCATGCATAGCCCAAGCCTACGTTTCGCAGGCACTTCCAGTGCCCGCACACGTGACGGCTCATTCAACACGTAGCGCGGCTACCTCAGCGGCGTGGTCAACACAGGCGTCAGTGGAAGAGATTTGCAGGGCTGCAACCTGGTCTTCTCCTTCCGTCTTCATCTGACATTACCGTTTAGATTCCTTCGCAGCAGCAGACGCTGCATTTGGTAGGAGAGTGCTACAGCAAGTCGTATCTGCTCAAGGTTCGGTGGCCTAGACACTCCCTCCCAGGGGGACATGAGGGCTTTGGTATGTCCCATTCATTGGACTCTACAGCCATCCTGCTGGAGAAGGGGCGTTGTCTTACCTGAATGCCTTTTCTCAGCAGGATGATGTAGAGTCCAAGCCCCCCCAGATATTAGGTCTAGGCAGGTAGGACAAGGAGCTAACACAGCAATCCCAACAAAGTTCTCGCCTCAGTCAAAACTGGGGTCACACCCAGAGGAAGGGTGTGGCCAAAGTTTTTACCCAGTCTGCCGGGCAGGAAGGCTGTCATAGAACCCTTTCATTGGACTCTACATCATCCTGCTGAGAAAAGGCGTTCAGGTAAGACAACGCCCCTTTTAAAAAATGGCCAGAGAGGACATAAATAGAGGCAAGATCCTGAAGTGAACACATTCAACACTTAAGAAGGTGGCATGTATCCAAGAAATAAGTACATAAGTAGTGCCTTGCTGGACAGATGCCTGGCTCACCTAGTCTAGCAGTCTGTTCTCACAGTGATCAGTTGACTGCACAGTGAAGCCTACTAGTTTCCCCACAGATGGCCTTCAAAGGCAGTTACACTACCGTCAAACCTAACAACGATTGATCCATGATTTTCATGAATTGGTCCTGTTCTTTTTTGAAGCAAGTCAAACTGGTAGCCTATCTCTTGATAGCGAATTCAAATACTAAATTATCTGTTACATAAAAATAAAATCCTCTTGTCTATCCTAATTCTTCCAGGGTTCAGTTTCATTGTTCATTGGCTTATTTTTATTCATACTCTCTTTGGAATTCCTTCACTCCTTGATGTTCTTTACTCACTTTTAACTCTTTATGACCTGAGGAATATTATTTTGCTAAGAATGTCTGTCAATAATACAATAATGCATACTTGGGAGTTTATACTTCTTCCATTGCAGAACCATATTGCCACTGAATTGTTTATAGAAAACATCCTGACAAGAGCTACAGGAATTGCCAAGGGGGATTTAGGGTGCTTCAGTAAAAAGCTGCATGAATTAAAAACTGGCTGGAGATGCCAGCATCTCATTTCCATTATGATAGTTTATAAAGGGCTCATTGAATGTGTGGAAGCTGGCAGTATTTGCAGCAGGAGAGAATAGATCCTATACTCAAACATTTTTCTAAAGATGCTGGGGAAATGAAGCAGGAACAATAGATACAGTCTTTCCCATTTTTAGAGCAAAAGCAATAGCTGTTCTGCCATCCCTATAATCTCTAGATATGCATTGTGTGTTCCCCCTAAAATCAAGCATTCCTAGAGTGGTCTAGAGCAGTGGTTCTCAACCTTTCTAATGCCGCGACCGCATAATACAGTTCCCCATGTTGTGGTGACCCCCAACCACTTATACATCACCGGGTGCCAGGGACATGGCCAAAGAAAAGGGGGAAAAAATGGCTGACAGCCTTGTTTGGCAACCCCCATGAAATGGTCGTTCGACCCCAAATGGGGTCCCGACCCACAGGTTGAGAACCACTGGTCTAGAAGATAAAATTGCTCAGAGGTAAAATCATCCAAATTGTTCTGCCCTGGTTTTAGGTATTGTGGTTCTCTGATCTGGTGTAAATTGTGTATGGAACCTGCTGACATGCCTAAGTGCATTAACAGACAAGCTCCAACTTTGCTTGGAAATTCAAATTTCCTGCCTGGATAGCTGATTAGGATTTGTTTATTTGTTTTTGTGCCTTTGAGTCAATGTTGACTCCTGGTAATTGCCTGGACAAGTCCTTGTAGTTTTCTTGGCACCCTTTCAGAAGTGGTTTGCCCTTGCTTCCCTTCTAGGGCTGAGAGGGAGGGGCTAGACCAAGATTACCTAACTGGTTTTATGTCTAAGGTAAGATTAGAACTCATGATCTCCTAATTTCTAGCCCAATGCTATCTATTGCATTCTTACATTTAGAGTCAAAATTTTGATATATTTTTAATAGGCTTTTAAACAATCCATAAGGATTTTTATAATTAGCTTTTCAGTCTTAATGCTAATAAATCTGGTTTCTTGTAACTATTTGTAATTTTCCAAAATCAACATTCTACTCTTTTGCTGTTTATTTCAAAATAGAAAAAAAATCTTTAATTTCTTAAACTTACATAAAATTTCTTCCACTAAGGATTGAAGGAAAATCATAAAGTGTGATGAAATGTGTCATTCTGAAATTTCTTAGTTTCCCAAAAGCAGGCTATTTCCTGCAATGGTTAAGGGGAAATGTGTGAACTCAATGTCTTTTGAAGGCTCTGAACTGTGGCTTGGGCAAAGCTGAGCTTCTTTAGGCTTCCAGGTCTCTGACACCTACCAAAGACTGCTTTTTATGGTCTCACAAGGAGTCTCTGTAAGGGCCACTTTGTGTGTGGGTGATCTTGGTTCTCCCCTTGATCTGGTGAGGAGTTTGGGGAGCTGAACTTTTCTACTGCAACCATCGGGTATGCCCTCCACTACTATATCTGCTATTGCTATTACTATTACTTGCCTAGACCTCCTAAATGAATGTTTTATTAAAGAAATTTATTGTATTCATTGTGGATTCTCAGAAGTCATCATTCAACCATTGTGTGTTTCCAGAGTATCTCCATGAATCTAATCTTAAAATGTGTGTATGCCAACTCTAGCGTCCTAGTTTGATACTACATAGTGTGCTCAGGCAGTTCTGTCTTAGATGGGGAGTTTAAGATAACCTTGCTGGCCAGTTGGTCTAGTGATTAAGATAACAGACCAGAAAACAAGAGACTGTGAGTTCTAATCCTGCCTTAACTGTGAATGTTGGCTGGGTGACCTTGGACCAGTCATACACTCTCAGGGTTATTATGGGGAATATAGGAAGAAAAAGATATGTTGGATATGTTTGCCGTCTAGGGTTATTTGTAAAAATAATAAAGACGCGATGCTAATTTTCTTGCATTTTTGCTTATATAGGGATCTAGCAGCTCGGAATTGTTTGGTAGGAGAAAATCACGTGGTGAAAGTAGCTGACTTTGGATTAAGCAGACTGATGACGGGAGATACGTATACAGCTCATGCTGGAGCAAAGTTTCCTATCAAATGGACAGCACCAGAAAGTCTGGCCTACAACACATTCTCAATCAAATCAGATGTTTGGGGTAAGAGAGAAAAAGTCCTTTAGTACAGAATTCTTTTATGTAAGTAAATCAGGATTATAAAGTTATATTGGGTTATTTTTATATTCTCAGGATAGTTTTTTTTTTTTAGTTAAGAAGTTCAATATACCTTGAAAAAAAGAATCAGTGTTGTTTAAACAATGCAGCTTTAAACATTCTTGCTTAATTTGCAGCTTTTGGAGTATTGTTGTGGGAGATTGCAACTTATGGAATGTCCCCCTATCCCGGCATTGACCTTTCTCAAGTTTATGATCTGTTGGAGAAAGGTTACAGGATGGAACAACCTGAAGGTTGCCCACCAAAAGTCTATGAACTCATGAGAGCATGTGAGTATAATGCTCTCATTTTTATTTTACAAGCAAATGCAAATTGAAAACTGGGAGCAACTGGAAGCCTTGGTAACTTTCCAAGTACATTTAGCATTTATTATTACATATGATAATAAGTTTTTTGACATACAGGAAGTTTCTTGTGAACAGAAAACTGTTAGTAGTGGACAGCTTCTGTAAACCTGAATGGTCTTTGACATTGGTTTCTGCTGAGTAGGTTGAATATTTCTGCATGTGACTGGATATGACTGGAATAGAATTGATAGAAAATCACAGTTCATAACCTCATGATTACAGAGAGGAAACCATTGAAGATTCTTTTCAAACACAGATATGGACTCATTCAATAGCCTGTCAAGAGAATTTTACTACCTTTGCCTCCTTATTGTAGTGTGCTATGTCCACTTAAAAATACAGTGTGTTTAACAGAGATGAGGAAATCTCCTGAACAGTATGGGCTCTGGTGTGGTATTTGCAATAAAATGGGGGAATTGCTGAAAATCAGTTGGATTCATACTTATGACAATTGTTATGTTCCAAGGTCATGTGATCACTTTTTGCGACCTTCTGACAAAGATGGACTTAACAACCAGGTTACTAACTTATCAACAGCAGTGATTCACATAACAACTGTGGCAAGAAAGAGCATAAAATGGGGACAAAACTCACTTAACAAATGTCTCATTTAACAACATAAATTTTGGGCTCAATTGTGGTCATAAATCGAGGACTACCTGTATTTCAGGCAATCACCTGTGCCAGTTGAAATTTTCAGAAATATTTATTCAAGATATTAAGTGGAATAAGTACAACTTCTAAGGTAGAAGATAATGATAATCCCAAGGATGTAGGATATCATTTTGTTCTATCTTAATAACTAACTAGTTAAAATAAAAGTATTAAAAACAGCTATAAACTAGCCAGACAGTTAAATTCCTACTCTACAAATGGAAAAAAGGTAAAGTTAAAGCATCTGGATTATTTTGGTCAGAAAAAGACCAAGATGTTATGCTTAATTAAGTTATAAAAGGTGCTTGAGAGTTCTAAAATTTTTCAATTACCCATTTACTGCTATTAGAAGAAATGTATGAAGGGTCAAAGTAAAGTATTTGTTTGTCGTGTAGCAGTTCAGTGTTGTTCTGATCAATAGCTTACATGACTTTAAATGAATTTAGCCAAATATGTGGAGAGTGGCCAACTGTTATTCATCATAAATAAATGGAACAGCATCATGAATACTACACATTGGAGGTAAAGAAGATTTTTACTTTGAGGCCCTTTATCTGGGTCTCCCAAAAATATCTCGCTCATCAGTACTGGAAAGAGAATACTAGACTTCACAGCTACATCAAGGTATTTCTTACATTCAGAAGTGCTGCCAGAAATTTTAAGATATTTGAAAATAGAATGCAATAAACCACAACAAGAACCTTAAAAATGTTGCCAAAGTTACAGTGAAAAACACTCACTCCAGAATAGTGGAATTAGATTGCAAATTCTAATGGAGATAGTAATCCCCTGCTGTTGTTTTTTTTATTATATTGTAGGCTGGAAATGGAGTCCCCTAGATAGACCATCATTTGCTGAAACTCACCAAGCTTTTGAAACTATGTTTCATGATTCTAGCATTTCTGAAGGTAAGGACCTGTTTGCTAACTTATTCTGAAGTTTCTATTATATTTTTGAAATAAGGGTTTTTTTTCCCCCAGTGTAATCAAAATCATTTGAATATGTTTTGTTAGGCTATTGGATTTCTACTATAAAACAATCCAGACAATTGTCCAATTCAAACCTATATTAAATGTTAGAATTACAAAGTTGAGCAACTAGAACAGGGGTCCCCACCTCCAGTCCATGGACCAGCACCTATCCGCAACATGCCAGAAAATGTGCCTCACAAACAAGTGAATTCCTGTGGGATGCAGGCAGCACACAAAACCATGCCCCCTTCTGTCCATGGAAAAGCCTCTCTCCACAGAACCTGTCCCTGGTGCCCAAAAGGTTGACCGCTAAAGTAGAAGATTTACACACAAACCTAAAACTGTGAATTATCCCCATTCTCACGTTGCTTTTAATGGGTGAAGGAAGAGATTTTAAATCTTGTGTTTATTGTCTTTCCTCATCTGAATTGTGGGGGGAGAATATGCAAGCCAAAGCATGTACTCATTTATTCTAATAAGTATGCACTTTTTGTGTGGATTTCTTTCCAAAGCATGCAGTTTGTGTCTGTTTTTTTTAATCAACAATGATGCAAAATTATCCAATCCATTTTCATTGCAAACAACTAGTTGTGATCTGGTCCACTTACTAATATGAGAATAATGGCTTAAGTTAGGCGTATCAAATTCTTTCCCCCTAATTCAGAGTGAGGAAACTATGGCTAAATGTTGCTGAATTACAAACTGCAGCATTCTTTACTTTTGGCCATTCTTACTAAGTCACACAAGATTGTAGTTCACAGCTCTTGAGAGGCTATAGATTTCCATTTAAATCATGATTTACCAATGAACTGATATTGGTAAATCAGATATCTTGATGTAGTATGATTTGCTACAATCACGATTTTACTTAATTTCAGATAGATTACTTGTCATTTCTCTGACAAGTTGAAACTGGCTGGAAGGAGTTTGTTGGGACTACAAAGAAAAATCATTTTTCCTTAAATTGTGGATCAGAATGCAAACTGAATAATAGTTTTCCTTGGATAATCTATGTAGAATCATAGAATCGGATAGAAGGCTTTTGAGTCATATCCTGTTCAAGCTAGGTTTATTTTAAATAAAGTTAACTATTTTTTAACCAGTATAACTTACCAGGTGCCCTTCTCTGTACCCATTCCCCTATGAGGTTTTAGAAAGAGAAACAGCTGCTCTAATGAGACACACTTAGATGCTGTTCTTATTTCTGCACATTCTAAAAATTTCTTTCAAATAAAATTCAAGGCATTCTATAGTTCTATTGTTTGATTCTTTAGAAGCCATACTTCTGAACTGTTAGACTCTGAAAAATAGTCTGTTGCTGCCTAGCTGTCAGTAGGACATATTATATTGCCCAATATGTTGCTACTTTGGCATCATCTCTTAGTAGCACCAGCTCTTTCTTTCCCTTTCCTTTGCTTCTCTGTTTCAGTAGGGTAACAGTTACAAAGAACTTTAGAAAAACTGTTGCTAGACCTGTTGCAATCAGGATTTAGACCTGGATGTAGAATTGAAACCATATTGGTCATCTTCAGATCACTTGACTATGCTTGTTTAAACCTTTTGGCAGTATTTGGTACTATGTAATACTGGACCATCTACTATATTTATTTATTACATTTATATTCTGCTTTAATCAAATATTGGTAGTTGAAGTAACTATATTTTGGTGGTTGTGTTCTTTCCTGACTGGGAGGGCCCAGTTAATTGTTACAGAATGGGTGGAGAGTTCTTGTTATTATACACTCCATCACATGCTGCTTCAGGGCTTGGTCTTATACCTAATTATGCCATCTATGCAGTGTGAAATCTAATTGTGCATACCTATGGCCATAAAAGGGTTGCAGTGGAAGCCCTGATCCATCATCTGTTGGCTATCAGGGCCTGGATGTGGTACAACTGATTCAGACTCAGCTCTAGAAAGAGAGAGTGCATATTTATTTAGAAATCCACCAATTCTGTTACGATACATTGATTGTATCATTTTTGACTCTCAGTAAAATTGCTTCCCCATTGGGAGCAGACCTGCACTTTGATGGTCCTCCTGAATTCATAGCTCCTGTTAGAATGGTAAGTGAACATTATAACCAGGAAAGCCTTTATCCACCTTTGGTTATTGAACTGAATGTAACCTTATCTAGATGAGGAACTGAAGATAGTTGCTCTTGTTCTTTTCATCTCCCTTATAGATTATTATAATTTCATTATAATAGATTATTATAATTATAGATTATTATAATTTCATTCAGGACTGTTATTGAACATCATCTGGAAATTTCAATTGGATAATTCCAATACTGGCATATAAAATCATTGCTGTAGGAAATGCACTGGCTAATAATATGTTTTCAAATACATTTCAGTGTGCAGTCATTATATATAAAGCCCTATGTAGCTTGCATATCTTCAAGACCACTTATCCTATATAAATCTGCCCATCAAATCTGAGGGCATGGAGAACATGTGCAAAAGACCCAAACTATGGTTAGGTACAGTGACAATGGTCCTCAAAATAAGTATTCTTTATAGGAGCACCACATCTCTGGAATAGGTTGCCCCCTGAGGCAACATAACATTCCAAAAACTTGGCTGTTTCAAAAGGTATTTCTGTCGCAAGAAACATTTAATCATTTCCATGGTTAATTGTAAACTTTTGATTGCAGTCATGAACCATGTTGGTCTTGTTGCACACATTTTATTTTATTGTTGCATTCACTTCAATTGATTGTCCTCTTGGTTGACTGAAACATCCTGTAATTAATGAATACAAATTATTTCATGCATGCTTCTTACAGAAGTGGCAGAAGAACTTGGAAGGACCTCATCCTCTTCTTCAGTAGTTCCATATTTGCCTCGATTACCTATTCTTCCTTCCAAGACTAGAACTTTAAAAAAACAAACAGAAAACAAAGAGAATATTGAAGGAGCTCAGGAGATCATAGAGCATTCTGCATCCAGTTCTGCTCCAGGTATGTTATTTGAGTGGTCCAGACTCGGGTCCTGAGAAATAACGTTTCAAAACAAAGGAAAGATTCTGAAAAATTGGATTACATCTAACATTGCAGCACATGATTTCTCATCTTCTCTAAATTCTTCTCTTGAAATTTAGCGTGAAGGATGCACCAATCTTCTGGAACAGGTTTAAAGATCCATAAATAATTAAAATGGGAGATTGCACTTGTTCTGCTGGTGAATAGACATAAAAAGTGGATACATTCCTCTGTATTTATGGATGGTGGAGGAAGCAGAATATCTGGTCAGCAGGTTTAGATTATATATTAAACCAGTTCAAATGTGCGAGCTCTTAATTGAATCTGATTTCTGCAATGTATAAAAAGTAATCACATAGTAACCCACCCACCCCCAATCAGTCAATTGTAGATTAACTGATTTTCTTGCTAAGAATGCAGTAATGGCCATAATAAAATAGAAGAAATTTAAGCAACATCATATAGAGAGATATCTGAAATCAATATATATCACTGTAGTCAAGATAAGGAGAGAAGACTAGGAAATTAACACTAAGAAAGGGCTGTGCCAGGTATCAGTGATGCATCCATGACCAGATGTCTTCTCTCTTTCACCTGATTGCTGAGAGGAAAAAGAAGCCTTTTAAATATGCTTTCCCTCATAGCAAAGATCAGAGACTCAAAATTTCTAAGCCTTCAGTGTCACTTATCAATTCCGCTTTTGCTGTGCAAAATGGATAATTCTGCAGACCAAATGCCATTCTATGTCTTTTACAAGTTAATATCAGTATTTCTCTGATGAACAGCAAGGCTGTTTCCTTTCAGTGTGAAAGAGGCACAAAGTTACTGCATCACCATGAGCAGCAGACTTTTTTGTTTTTTTTTTTGTCTAGGTTTTATCAGAAGCACACAGCAGACCAGCGGATCCCCAGCACTACCTCGTAAACAGAGAGACAAGTCACCGAGTGGCCTGTTAGAAGATACTAGGGAAACTACCTTTACCAGAGACAGAAAAGGTGGTTTCTTTAGCTCATTTATGAAAAAGAAAAATGCCCCCACACCTCCCAAACGCAGCAGTTCCTTCCGTGAAATGGAAAACCAGGCTCATAAGAAATACGAATTAACGGGTAATATTTCCGGAGCTGGTCCATTGCAGCATATTGATGGGTTTTCATTTGCTCCCTCCCAGCAAGATGGAAATCTTTGCTTATCCAAGTGTTATATTGGGAGCTTTGCACAGCGGAACATCTATGGGGAAGATGGTGGTGGCAGCAGCAGTGGGGGCACCAGCATTGGTAGTGGTTGGTCAGGCCTCACAGGCTTCTTTACACCTCGCCTGATTAAAAAGACATTTGGCTTAAGAGCTGGGAGGCCCACTGGAGGTGATGAAACTTCAAAACCTTTTCCCCGATCAAACTCCACATCTTCCATGTCTGCAGGTCTTCCTGACCAGGAGAGAATGGCAATGACTCTTCCCCGAAATTGCCACAGGTCCAAAGTTCAACTGGAAAGGACAGTATCCACTTCCTCTGAGCCCGAGGAGAACGCAGACAAGTCCAATGATCTTCTCCCTAAAAGGTGTGAAGATACTCATACGCTGACCAGAAGCCGACCAAAAGCTAAACTGCTGCCGAGGGGTGCTACTGCTGTTCCTCTCAGAACTCCTTCTGTGGACACATCTGTTTTAGAGAAGGATTGTCAAGGGCCAACAGCAGCAGCAAGCCTGAAAAGCAAAGAAAAAAACAGTGGGATACGACAAGGTTCAGTAGAAGGGGAAGAAAAACCAAGCTGGCCTTCTCCAGCCAAGGCTGCAGCAATACTTCCAACTACTCACAATCACAAAGTGCCCGTTCTCATCTCACCTACTCTAAAGCATACACCAGCTGAGGTGCAGCTCATTGGCACAGACTCTCAGGGGAATCGATTCAAGCTCTTATCTGAGCATCAGAGCACTGCTTCTAGTGACAGGGATAGACCCAGACGGATAAAACCAAAGTGTGCTCCACCGCCACCCCCACAAGCAGTCCTGAGGCTCCTTCATCAGCCTCCAGGTACCTCAGATACAGTAGAAGAGTTGGATAATGGAGCATTGGTACAGCATGGGCAAGACAGTGAGGGCAGCAAAAAGGTAACAGTGGCACCTACTGGGGGAAAAGCTGGAAGGCCAGTAATACCTCCACCTCAAGTGCCTTTGCCATTGTCTTCGTCACCTGCTAAAATGGCAAATGGCACAGCAGGGGCTAAAATTGCTCTGAGAAAGACCAAACAGACAGCTGAGAGAATCTCAGCAGACAAGATCAGCAAAGAGGCGCTTCTGGAATGTGCAGACCTCCTCTCCAGTGCCATTGCAGAGCCTACCACAAATAGCCAGCTGGTGGATACTGGGCACCAACTATTAGATTACTGTTCAGGTTATGTGGATTGCATCCCCCAAACGCGCAACAAGTTTGCCTTTCGGGAAGCTGTAAGCAAACTGGAACTTAGCCTGCAGGAACTGCAGGTGTCCTCGATGGCTGCTAATCTTCCTGGAGCAAATCCTGTCCTTAGTAACTTATTGTCTTGTGTTCAAGAAATCAGTGATGTTGTTCAGAGGTAGCTACTGTCAAACCTTAGGAGGAAAAAAAGTTGACAAAATTGAAAGAAGAGTCAGAGTGACTTCTTCTAATCATTTTTTCCCTATGTTAATGTTTTGAAAGAAAAGACTGATACTTGAGTAAGTTTTATGTGAAGTACCTCAGATCACTGAGCTCACATGTTTACAGGTTCATCTCAGTACATGGGGCAGATAAGAGGGAAGCAATGTTTCACAGAGGTCAGATGATGGCAGCCGAGACGGGCAAAATATTGAAACTTTGCCCTGGTGAGAAAATGTATTTGCAAAAATAGAGCTTGTGCTCTTGTTCACTTCTGGGAGGAAGGATATTCCATGAAGGTACCTACAAAGGTTTGATAAGGTGCTTTGTTCTCTTTGATGCTTGTCCAGTTGATTAGAATTACTGGAAAAGGGATAAGGTTCTTTTTCTGCACTACTCTATTTTAACTTTCTGAGGTCAAATCAGAAAGGCTTAGAGGTGCCATTGGAAGTCAACTAGATCTTTCCAAGAAAGAGAGAATAATTTTGAGGGAAAGTCTTTTATATTTTAAAAAAAAACAAAACAGATTGGCACTGTAGGGAGTGCATGCACTAGCCTGTCTGGTAGACCTTCTGCAGTGCAATTGGTTGCTGTAATCGTAGATGCAAAAAGTAAAAACAAAGAGCTGGAATATGAAATGCATCCCCCTTTATCGTCCCCATCTCATATTAGTCACTCACACGTTCACTCTTTCACAGCATCTTGAATGACAATTTAAGCAGATTTGCCACTGGATTTCATACAATCACACCTTAACACTCAAACTGCAGTCATCACCATGTGGATAGCATAGCATGGTTAGCTAACCAATGGCAATCACTTGAGTTCTTTGGGGGATAGCATGCCCAAGAAACTGTTAATTTATCTTTGGTGTTGAACTTTGGTACAGTGGTGGCTTTGCTATACCTTGAGGAGCCCTGCTGGATTAAAACATTGCAGAATGCTGCTAGTGTTCTCTACATTCCTATTTTAATTGTGGTTACCTTAATGTCATTTCTTTTTGAGGGAACTAGAGACCTGAGGCCTTCATATTTTCTAGTAGAACTATAAATTTGCTCTTGGAATACCAGTTCAGGCATTGCTGATATAGATTCTTTGTTTAGATTTTTGCTTTATTTGTAGTTTCAAGACACTGCTTGCGCATGGATTCATTGTAAGTGATTGGTCTGTACAAACATGCTGTTACTCCCTTCAAGTAGTCCAGTTTCAAAAATCATCATCTTCGAAAGTCAGCTTGTTACGGGACCACTAATTTCAAAAATCCACTGATGTTAAGTAAATGATATTGGGTTTTTCTATGATTAATGTGATTTTAAACTAGCATTTGCACAACATGTTTGCTTATGAAAGATAATCAGGCTATATGCTTCCATGAGGCCTCTTTTTTGTTTATCCCAGAACCCCTGAACTCACTCTATTTATTGAAATTCAGCAACAAACTATTGAAAAATGGAGCTGTAGTTTCCTACAATTTTTTTTTGTCAAGAAACAAAACAAGGAAGTTATATGATATTTGATGTTTGAAAGGCTTGGTAGAAACAAATAATGGAGACTCTGTTTGAAATATCTTGAATCTTGATACCATTTTGTTCTCTGGAGCTGTTAGCTATCAATAATTAGTTACGGTATGGCTTCAGTCACAAATGGGTTACTCATTTCAGCCTTAAACCATAAATGGAAGGGGGTTTTTTTTAGCCATACTGTCTGGAAAAGGAGATTGAAAACACATTTATACTAACTAGAATCCTGCCATTAAATTTTCTAGAAATTACACTGAACAAGCAGCATTATTTAGATAGGGAAAACTCACAGAATGAAAGCACGTTTGGGTTCTATTTCTGATTCAGAATAATAAGGTCTTCACATGGTAGAGAATAAGCAGGCTCTGCAATGCATTGGATTCAAAGGGGGGAAATGCTAAAGAACATCCAGAACTGTTCACATAATATTTATTTGCAGTTTGTCTTTTCTTGGGATTGTGCAGCAACTAACACTCTAGCAATGCAGATGTTTTAAGTACTTTTCCATAGGTTCAGTGGTAGTGCTCCCCCTACCTGGAATCATTTTTCCCATTTTGAATTAAAACTGCTGCACAGCCTTAGAGGACAGCACATGCTGCAGATGTCCAGTGCACAATTTCTTCCATTTCTGAGCAAGAAAAAATTGGGTATCTATATGTGTGTCTACAATAATATTGACCTAAGGGGATAGAGGATACCCATCCTCATCATGGCAGACTTATATTTTTCTTGCTGGCTTTTGGAATTGGCCTCTGATGCCCAGTGTGTCTTCAGTTACTGTTCTGCTTTCCTGAGAGAATTCTGGATTTGAGTTATTCGTATATTATTTATATCTTGGACAATGGTTTGTATAGTATGTTTACGTTTGCCGTATGCTGCTCTTAATACAAAATCTGTCTTAAAAATGCAAGGGCATGCAACTTCATATTTGCCTGGGACAGTTTATAAAAATCTTTCCTGTTGTCAAAGAAGTTACTGTTTCAAAATAAATTGACTTTGTTCTGGTAAGTAATAAGTAGCTTAAATATGGGATGGACAAAAAAATCTATTTTTCTGATATTGCACATATACACACACAAACACACCCCTTTTAAGTATATACTGCAGTTCATGTCTGCGGACCTCTTTTGCACCAGACTGTTAAAATCAGCCTATTTGTCATAGAATTGTACATTATATCATTGACACAGTTTATTTAGACCATTGAGTCCAACTTCTGACAAATGTCTGCCCAGCTAGATTTCCAGTGAAGAGAAACTATTATTTCACAATAACTGATTTAACTGTTGAACCACTCCTCTTATTGAAAATTATTCAGCAAAAATATGGCTTACTGAAAATTAAGACCATGTTTCTGTACCCTGATATTTATTCCCTTCTGAGCCTTCTTTTCTCAACTCCTGTTGCACTTGATTTCCAGCCCCTGATCACCTATTGCTTCTCTTTCTACTTGTTATAGTCATCTAAAATTTTCTTATAACAGTAATGCTCTGAGGGAAATGTTTGGTTAAGAAATGTGATATGAAATAAATAAAATGCCAAGAACTGGACTGGTTATAATACTTCAGTGGGTTCTGACCAGTTCAGAATTGAATGGACAATTACGTCCTGTGATTTGGAAAATCACAAATGCTCAAGAAGGAATATATAGAGCACCCTGCTTTGCTTTTCTGCATAACAGCTTTGTGAGAAAAGGGGAGCAAATAAAAAACTTGTCCAAAGCCACCAATGAGCTTCTGTGACCAAAGATAGACTTTAGTCTAGGTTTTTCTTGTTCTATCTCATCTGCTAAATAGGAGTGTGAACTGCTTTAACAACTCTTCCTTAGCTAGATGAAATCTAAATTGTTCACCCAACTGGCTCTTCATAATTGTTCAGTAGGATGCATCTCCCCTTTTTGGACAAGACTGAATAAGAATCAAGCAGTCTTTGCTATTTTCATTGTTATAGGCATATGTGAAGCTCCTTTTGTTAGGATTCTTAGAATTGTTTGTTTAATTTTGGCTCATTCTGAGTTTTAGCTTTTATTATATCATCTCTACAAATCCAGGCAATCTATAGGTACTCTTCCTTTGTGATCTTCCTCTTTTTTAAACCTCCCAGATAAACCGCCTTTATCATTGGATCTTTCTTAAGTTATTTTTGCAGCTCCATCTGCTTTTGCTATCTTTTTTTCTCCTTGTTGGAATTGTTTATTAATGTTCTGTTAGGGTTTCCTTGGGCACATTTTCTCGTTAGCTTTTCCAGCAGTTAGATCTACCTGCCATTGCACCTTTGTTGATATCTTGTTTTCATCAATTAGAAGCATTAATCTAAATTCATTTAGGGCCAAATTTAATGTACCTTTTAATTTTTGTAATTGGTCAAGTTTAAGTATTGAAAGTTTAAAATGTTTAATATTGCCCTATTGATTTTTATGGCAAATCTTTTAATGATTGTGTAGACCTGAAATTGTCATTGAATCTGTACACAATATATGCTAATGGAAAAGTGAAAAAAATCACTTTTGCTTCATAGGTCAGACTATACCAGCTACACATTAAGTTCATGTGAAAAAATGTAATCTATCAGTTAAATCTGAAATGTGAGATTATTGGTAGTGGCTTGGGAAAAAAGCTAAGAAAGCTGAAACAGATTATATGCATTAGTTCAGAAAAGTCATGTTTCTTGGCCCATGCTTCTCTTTTGAATTTTCCCTCTAATGGCAAACATTTTCAACATTTGGGAGAGCAAATAGAAGAAATCATCCCCTAAACAGAGATAAGTGTAATAATATTAAAAAATTATGAGTTGTTCTTTGTTATAGATTCAAACACTACATTCTCATGTTTCCTTGAACAGTCATTAGCATTTCATGTCAAATAAACATGCTTGATCCTTGAATAGTTTGAGAATTCCCATTCAGGTTTTCTCCCTAGTTTTATGTAATTCTCAAACCAAAATTGTTTATTACTTTCCTCTGATGGCTGGGTGCTGCCTTTTGATAACATAAGCAAATAGCACTGAGAATTAAAGTTGATATTAATGTGCATGACAATTAAGAGAAAAGTGGGCAATTGTATTTCTCTGTTATATTATGACCCATTCTAGCTTTTTGTAGGTCATGCTCCCTCCCAAAATTATGCACACAGTCTGGTGTGTGTGGATTCATAATGCAAAACTTGTTTTGTAGTTGAAATTAATTTAGATCACTTTTTGCAGTTTCTTTGGATGAGTTAAATAGAATTTAGTATCTGGCTAAATCCAAACAACTAAATTAGTTACTTTCCTCATCTTTGGATAGAATGCTAAGTTTAGCATATGGGTGACCTAATCTCATGCAGTACCTGTGGCTCTCCTCAACTAGAATTGTCATCTTCCTAATCAATGATCCCTGGCCATAGGGCTGATGAAATTTAGAATCCCAATAACATCTGAAGGACTAAAAATTTCTAGTATTGCAGTATATTAACTGAAGGCTTAACAGTAAATAATTGAAAATAAATACACTACAGTCAAGAAATTTGGTAATACCTTTATTCAAAAATATAAGAAATCAAGAATGAAATTTACCTCATTTAAAGGAAGCTAATTACAATAAAATGGTTATGATTGTGAAAGTTTTATTTCTTTTTCCATTTAGTTTAAGTCCATATTTGCTAAATATTAACATTTAACTAGATATAATTGAGTTCCAACTCTCTAAGCAGATTTCTGTTAATATTTTTTTCTGATCCCCTTTTTCTGATGCTTCTCAGTCATTTTTCGCTCTTTTTAGCTTCTCATCCTAGTTTAAAAGTAAAATCCTGACAATTATTGGAATATTTTGCATATTAAATGTAGGGACAATTCACATACCACTCAATATAGAGCAAAATAGTATTTGAAAGTTACTATATCTGGAAAGGAAGTCAATTTTTCCCCCCAGGTTCATTAGTGGACTCTGAATAATAACAACTACTAGGCATTGAAAGCTTTAAAGCTATTGCCCCAAAGCTATAAAAAAGTGCAGAGAATTTTTTGTGTTTTTGCATGAGTTTCAGATTATCACTTTGACCTTCCTTGATAATGGTAGGAAGATGTTATCTTTTGTTCAAAAATGCCGTAATTTTTTCTCAGACAATAATGCTTAAACTTTGCCTTTATTATTTTATAAATCGTGCCCAATGTCTTCTTATATGTATGCTGTTCTTGAAACTGAGTGGTGCTTGTTCAGAAATGAACTCACTGTAAGTCTAGAATAGTTGCTATAGTTTTCTTTCTGGCTAAATATGACAGGAATGCATTCTCTGCTCATTTGTACCTTTAATAGAAGTTTCTACAGTATACTGGGGGCAAAGGGATGATGTTAATAGTTAATGGAATCTTATGAGAAAACTTTGGTTTTAGCTAGTGGAATAGTTTACGTTCTATACATGGATTGGTTCCTTACTAAATTCAAAATGTTCCCGGATTGCTTTGAAACTGTATGGAATGAATCAGTCCTCTTGCATAATGTGAAAAAGTTTTTTGGTATTACATACAATTCATTCATAAATAATATTGCTGTGCTCCTAAAGGCAGAAATTCTAGAGGAGTATGCTGTACTATCATGCTTTTATTAAAAAAAATATTTGTAGCACTGAAGATTGATTGGCAAACTCCAGCTAGTTCAAAATATAGTACAAAAGTTATATGAAATTATCAGGCTTCTCCAGTAAATTCATCTCAAAGTAGAATCCGTGGGAGGTCTTGGGCAAATAGGAATATTCTGAGACCATGGATTTGCAAAATAGTGAAAAATTATCTTTCCATTAAGACAAGGATATGAGGTGGCCAAAAATTCAAATGGTTCTAATTTTGGAGTAGCCAAGGGCTCCTGTAATGGAATGATGCTGCAGGAATAATTTGTAAGCTGTTAAGAGGTAGAATTACTGTGGTAGTTGTCTCATGCAGGGTTTTTTTTTTTTTTTACAAAAATATAAACCTACATATTTTTATTGTTTGATTTTCTCATTGCTCTTTTTTTTAGTGGTTTGCTGCTGAAATTTCGCATGACAGTTTTTAAGGGGTCAATAACCAAAAGGATTGTAGGTCAATAACCAAAAGGATTGTAGGTCAATAACCAAAAGGATTGTAGGTTACCTGCTAGGGCTTTCAGCAACATTTTCCTTGATTCTCTGGTCTTAAAGCAAGATTGAAGATAAAGCATTCATTCTCTAAGGAGGGGGTTCTGCTTAATAACATTATGACACCATACTCTATTAGTAACCTATTTCTTAAGATGTGAAGTCTAAGATTTCTCTTTGTAATATATATCATCAAAACACTAAACATGGAAAACAGTAAAAACAGGTTATTGTTTGGTCATAGTCTTTGAAGCTGGCTAAATAATACCCTCAAATCCTTGTTCAAATTTTTTTTTTTTTGCCAAAAACAAGGGTTTCCATCTAATGTGAAAAAAATATTGCTAAATTAAGAAGATACATTTCTTACATGCTTTAAAATTAAATATTAAAGCTTGTTGAATCTTTGTATTACTTCAGAGTTAAAAGTATTGTTTAAAAGTTGCCATCAATTTACAAAACTTGTATTTTAGAAAAACGGATGAACCTAGCCTTTGTGGTACGCTTTCTTTGCCTCTACTTTTAATCTGAATGGAAGCGCAACTCCTTTTCCCTTATCAATGCAATCTAGGAAAGGCTTTTATTGATTGAAGTGAGCCTTAATTTCAGATGACCCCTCTCCACAAAAGATTAAAAAGAAGTAACCTTTTTCTTTTACTTTATGCTAAGTCTCCTATTGATATATGATGAGCCTCTATGTTAAAAATTATCTTGGATACATCTAACTTTTCTTTTAAGCAAATAGGCTACTAGCTAACCCCCTTTTCTGCTTCTTCATGGATGGCATGCTTGTTTTAAAATACAGACTTAGGAAATACTCAAATGACTAAAGCAATGAGCATGATCAGACACCACTTTCTATTTACCATTCACAGTACTGTATTAAGAATTGCTGTGCACAACTAGTTCAAGTATAATTCATGATATGAAAATGTGGCTTCTAATCCAGAAAGGTGGCATATTAGGAATGCTTAATTTCCCTGAAATTGCCTAGGGCAAAAATGGCCAATGTTGTGTGATGTGTAAGGGCAGGGTTGGGGGGGATGGATGGTTAAGGATTTTAATCAACCCAGCACTTCATTAGTTGAATTCACTGAGGATTAAAATGGGTGAAACTGAAATGTGCGACTCACACAGAAAAACCCACACTACTAGTGTTGTCAAATGTTAATTTTGTTTTTTATTGTTGTTTGTAATATATTTGGTTTTTTTCTAATTTAAATTTTCACTATTTTCTGACTGTGAACTGCAAACAGTGTTAACTTGATGTAAGTACGGCCCTTGGAGGCATTGCCTCTGCCTGTTCCAGAGATTTTTGCCAATTTGCATTTTGTTTTAAATAAAAATTGCAATATTTTATTGGCAACTAAATTTCAGGATTTTCTTTTAGGGCATAGTGATTGAGTGAATAATGAAATTCAAAGAAAAACATGTAGTTATATACCTAAAAGATTAAAAAGTCTGGTGTTTCATGTATGATGACTTGAACATGTGAAAGCTGTCACAAATGATTTGTTAGGTCAGAATTCAAGAAACAACTCACAGTAGTTTTCTGTGGAAATCATCTACAGTTTACTGGCACACATTCGGACGCTGAAATGTTATATAGAAATGGGAATGGCTCTGCTGAAACTGCTAACAAGACAGGTTCATATTTCTAGAATAGCTAGGCACATTTTGTTCTGCACTGTATATCTTCTCTCTCTCTCTTCACCTCCAGTCACAGGTTATAAATGTTATATCATTTAGCAAACTAACCTAGACAATAAATACAATCTTGCTGACATTTGGCTAGCAAACAAAATGTCAACAGAATTTGTGTAATACCTTTTTTGTTAGGCACGATGCTCTGCAAAGCTTTTGTAACATGCCACTCCGAAAATTAAATAGAAGGTTTAGGTCTATATACTTGCATTCAAAGGATGTATAGGAGAAGAAATGGGGCATGTCTGCCTGACCCACATATGCACAACTGCTTGACTATCTGCAGATACTAAATTATTCCCTATCTTGGACTATAGGTAAACCTTGCTTAGACACCATAATTGGGATTGTCATCTCAGTCACTAAATGATTCTGACTGTGCTCATGATTGTTCTTCAATTTCCCTTCTAGAATGCTCACCCTGAGGCTGGGATAATTAGCAAGAAGGGAATTAATGTTTGTTACATTACAAGAGAGTAAGCAGGCACACAATGAGAAATACACTTTGAAAGAAGCACACTGGCAACAGCTTTTTGCCTAGCTTACTCATAGCTTTGAGCTCCCAGCAGCACAGGAGACAAACAAAAGCCAAATGTGTGAAAGTGACTAAAGACTTTGTCAGTTTCAGGCAGTAGCTGAAAATTGATTAATTAAAATCATAGATTTTAATTAATGTTAATTCTTAACATGCTGGTAGCATTTTTGGGAAGAAAACAGTGATACAGAGAAAAATTCAGGAAGAGATCACTTATTTAAGTGGAGGTAATGGTAATGGAAAGGTCAGGCACAGGACATGTACTTACTATAATGGCAAATGTGGCTGAGAGCTCCTATATTTTACAATTGTGAAACATTGTTCCTAAAATGTGAGAAGAGACCCAATTTCTATTATTTGCCCTAAAATCTATAATTAAAATTTCTTCCTCTAAATTGGGATTGTAGTATAGGATCAGATTCTGGGGACACCAATGTTGCCTCAAAGTCACATATGGTTCAGTTTTGCACAAGGTTTGTGTATTTTTCGAAACTTAAATTTGTGTTCAGTCTGTGTACATACGTAGCTCTTACAAACCGAGTATATCTGGCCAGCTAAATCTGTGTTATATTTACTCTGACAAAGTAAGTGTCCTGCTGTGAATGCCAATGCCAAAGCAACATTCCATCCAACATTTCAAGTTACAAAGACAACAGAAGTTCAATACCAGCAAATAGTGGCTTATGCAAAGAGTGCTTATCACATAGAACTGGAAGTTCATTGCTCAATTTCAGTGCTGGGCTAGAAGTACATTGTCCTGTTATAAAAGTTATAATACAAAGAATGGCACATATTTTGTCCTGATATGTATATTCTGAAAAGTGTAATTTTTAGCACATGTAATTATATTTAAAAATTTATATGAAATATATATAAAACAAAGATTGACGCCAGGCCTCTAATAAGGGACAAAATCTTTCCTTCATACCTTATTTCAACACAAGGATTGTGGAAGAAGAGGTAGATTGCATTGCAAGTGAATATGATAGCTCCTCACCCAGCCATATGCTAAGAATGCAGACTAGGAAGTTGCTTGATTCAAATCATTGTCAACTATCTAAGACCTGGAAATAAAATTAAGTCCGTCTCACATCTTGTAGATGGGGGGGTCTTCTACCCAGGTTGTATAAAAACCCACTCAATATAATGGATAAAAATATGTAACCCAATGGCATCATTTGTTACCAGTATTCAAAAAATACTGTGGATATATTACTATTTTCAGTAATATCATTCAAGTAGATTCCATCCATAATGGAATTTTCTTACCTTTTTTAGCTGGGCAACCCCAATAATATGAGGAACCCCAATAATATGAGGAATAAATAAAGTATGTGTCCCTTGTATAAGATAAAAGAAAATAAACACAATTGCAATCTTCTTTACCTTCCCCTGTCAAAGAAGAAAGTAGTTTATACGCTGAGATATTGATTTGCAACCTTGAGCAGAAAATAATTTCTTGGGAGTGAATATCGTCCTTGCAACCTCATCTAGCATCTCTTCAGTGAACTGTAGATCTCGAGCAAGAAAAGCATCCCGAGCACAAAGCTTCACATGGTGATATTCCAAAGGTAGGAAAGGTACCAGAAAGTCTATGAGGTTGTCCTGAAGAAGGCAGTTGTCGGCATCTGGAAAAAAATATATATAAGTCATCTGGTATCTTCTTCATCTTAGTTACTGACCAGGGTAGACAGTAATTAGTTACTTGGCATTACTGGGGAGGCAAAAAATAGTTTATTTTTATAGTTTGAGTTTTATTTTGGCACACATGGCCTATTTTAAGACAATATCAGCAACAGTGAAAAATCTATATTGCAAGATCTAATCTGGATCAATCACCGGGACCAGAAGTTTAGTGTTCTGAGCTTTTGGACTTGTGCTGGAGCCCAGCCTCAGAGAACCTCTCTACCAGAATATGTGCTTTGGGTTATTCTATGCATCATATTTATGTGGTGCCTTCCTATTAGTTGATTGGTGTGTTGATGGCAGGGGATTGGCTGTTTTTTTCCTTGTGCTGCCAAGTCCTTGGCTCCTAAGTACCTGGTAAGCTAGTGGTAAATCAGCACTCCTCTTGACTGACAGGGGGCTTGTTTCCCAGGCTTCAAGCATTTCCCTGGCTATCTTTGTACTTGCATGGCCAACAATCTTAATAGCTCCAAAACAATGTATGTCCTTGTTCACTTCAATGTGAGGCTACCAATGAATTTGGGTCTCCTTGTCTGACACTCGCTTGTGTCCTTGCAATCTTATGGTTAGCTTCCTCCTCCCCGTCTGTCCTACATAGTGACTGGGGCAATCCATGCAGGGGATCTATAGATTACATTAGAAGTATCTCCGGTTTCCAAGTGATCTTTGCAATGCATGATTGGTCCTCATATGGTTGTCTCTGGGCAGTGTGCGATGCCCACTTGGAGACCTCGGAAGCTGAGTTCTACTGCTTCCAAAATGTTTTTGATGCATGGCAGGGTGTGCCATATAGTTGATCTTATACCCTCTTTCTTCATTTCTCTTCCTTACATGTTGCACAGGCATCCTGTAATAAATGCTTATGGGGAGGTTCCCCTTCTGCCTGAATTTTTCACATAGGTACCTTCTCTTCAGTTCTTTAGCTTGCTGGGTACTACAGTGGGTTCTATCAACAATTCTTTTTGTTTGACACTGGATGGTTACTGTTGAAACTAAGAATGAGTGGACTGTTGGTGGCCTTGCAATAAACCATGGTTTCTAGGTTTCCATCTTCCTGTCTGTTGACAAGCACATCTAAAAATGGTAATTGTTTAGCTGTTTCTTCCTCCATTATGAATTGTATGTCTGGGAAAATGAAGTTCAGTAAGGTATAAAACTCTTTTAGTACATTTCTTTTGATGATGACAAACATATCATTCATCTAGTGCATGCATGTCAAACTCACCGTGTCACATGATGTGTCACAATGTATCATGACTTTTTTTGCATTGTTGGAGCTGGGGTGGGCACGGCCTCCATATGATGCAACCAGCCCGTGGACCAACAGTTTGATACCCCTGATCTAGTGCCACCAAAATTAAGGTGTGTAGTTTTCAAATCCACAGTGTTCTAGTTCATGTAGGACAGTTTCTGCAATGGCTTCTGATATTGGGGATCCTTTTATTTGCTCATACATTTCCCTTTTGAATGTGAATAGGATGTTGGCAGTACTGGAATAGCTTCATAATTTGTGTCCTGATTAGGTTGTTCTGATCTGATTTGTACTCTTCGTCTAGTTTTTTTATCTATTACTTTGTGTGCTGAGTGGAGAGGAATGGGTGTAAATAAGGACACTATGTCAAAGGAGATCATGATCTCATCAGGAGCCACATTTAAGCCTTGTAGTTATGTCAAAAATTGTGTGGATAATATGATTGTGCTGTTTGAGGATGGAGTCAGGAAGCTTAAATATTGTGACAGCAGTTAGCCAGGGATGTAGGTAGGGCTACCTTGTAGCACTACAATAGGTCTGAGGGGGATCCCCATTTTGTGTATCTTGGGGAGTCCATAGAATCTCGCTGGAGAAGCATCTGTTCCTCTCATTTTCCACCATTCCTTCTCTGTTATACAATTGTTTTGTTTGAGTTGGCTTGAGATAAACATTCAGTTGGGAGACCATTGTTCTCATCTCTGAGGAATCATTGAGCAGAGCAAAAGCCTTCATTTCATAATCTGTGCAATTCATCACCACTGTTGACCAGCCCTTATCTGCTGATAAAATAATGTCCTGATCTTGTTTCAGGTCTTTCAAGATGTGTTGCTCTGTTGGGCTGAGTGTATTGTTTGGTTTGTGTGCAACCAGCACTGACAATACATGGCATGTTTTTCTCGCTGTTCTATCTCTACTCTGTTGAACATGGACTCTAATGCTGCTATAAATTCTGTTGGTGAGGCATCTCGTGTGTTAAACCATTCATCATTATCCAACTGTTTCCTTTTTCTCCCGTTTTTCTTTTACAAGGGCCCTAATAACATTTTCTAGGTCAGTGACTAATTCTTGTGATAGACAATGCCCCTTATGTGTATTGATAGATGCTTTATACTTGCCCCATCTTAGATGGGAGTCATTTATTAATACCTCTAACGTACGTTTGCTGAATGCTTTTGCCCTAGGTCTGCTCATCTTCAAGTTGACTGGTGGTCGGTATAGTAGGCTGCGTGGAATGACCCCTTCCCGAGTGCATCGGTTTAGGAAGCATAGTTGTTCATAAGTGGAAGCCTCGCGTGCTGAGAAAGATTCCCAAAGCCAAACTGTTTGAAGCACTAGCTGCCCATGTTTCTCATGAATGAAGGCAAATATACATGTCCTAGGATAATGTTGCAAGATCCAATCTGGATCAGTCATAGGACCAGAGGTTTAGTCTTTTGAACTTTCAGACAATGCTGGAGCACATCCTCAGGGAACTTTTCTCTACTGGAAGGTGTGTTTTGGGTTCCTTCTATACATCGTATTTCTGTGGTGCTTTTCTATTGGTTGATTGGTGTGTTGATGGCTGCTTTTTCCTTGTGCTACCAAGTCCTCTGCTCCTAAATACCTGATAAGCTGATGGTAAATCAGCATGCCTGTTGACTGACAAGGGGCCCATTTCCCAGACTTCAATCATTTCCCTGGCTATCTTTGTTCCCATACATTTGCAACTGAAATACAGCAGGAAAAGACAAGTTGATGAAGAGGAAGAGGAAGCAAAGTAGTGGCCACAAAGGATTATTTTGGCAAATGCAGTTGATTTTGCTGTAGATTTAGAGCAGTTTTATATAATAATACAACAAATAACAGTATCATTTATTTTATCAAATTTATATAGCCGCTCATCTCACCAAAAGCAACTTTGGGCATTACCCAACGAGATAAAACAGCAATGTAAAAACTCAGATATAAAATGTAAAAATCCATATGAATAAATATCATAGAAACCAAAGATGATAACCCCTAAACAATGATAGAGATAAAAATGATAATTTTATCAATTTTATTTTTATGCACTTTTATCATATTTATATTTTCATTTATGTTGAAGCAAACAAAATTATGACAATACAATGGAAATAAATGTTATTTTGAACAGCAATTACTGTATAATGCTGTAACATTATACAGTAATTGCTAGATGGAAATGAAAGGGAGGCTAGATGGAAATGAAAGTAGCAGCAGTTATAAGATTTTAGAACTAAATGGCTGTGTTCATATGACACAGCTGAGCAATATAGCCATTCTTTAAAAAAGAGAAATTTTGAGAATCCTCCCAATTCTTTGAAAAGTTATTGTTCCTATCCCACCTCCTACCCCCTCAACTGGACAAAAGCAAATTGAAAACTTTCTAGCAGCTTTACCAAGATTGGAGCCATTGCAGTAGAATTTAGGGATGAGTCTTACTCTGCCTCTTTCTCTCTATTTTACAGAGTAAAACACACAAAGAAAAGGAAATGGAAATGGAGTATCTAGGAAACTTCTGTTTCCTGGGATATTTTGGGACTTCATCCCATTCCTACAGCTAGTTGAGAGTGTTAATCTTCTTCTCTCATCTCAGTTTGGAAAACCTGGCTAGCTAGAGACAAAAAACTGCTCCACTGGTCATCTTACCTGTTGATAAAAACCCACTTTCTCCTTTGATTCAGCTAAGCTAAGGCATGAAAAGGGGGCCTATTCATTTACCAAGCTACAAGGAAGGCAACACTAGATTCAACAGATAACACGTGTTTGTAGACGGTTAATTTTAATGTTACTGCATTTCATTTCCCTCTAAACCAGGGGTAGGCAATCTTGGCTCTTTTATGACTCGTGGACTTCAGCATGCCTGGCTCAGGAATTCTGGGAATTGAAGTCCACAAGTCATAAAAGAGCCAAGGTTGCCTACCCCTGCTCTAAATTCAAGATTTAGGTCTCTTTCCTACTAATATCTCTGTTTGCATTTGTCAGAGTAGATGAATAGATACCTAGTTCAAAAAAAACTTACGTCACAAAACATTAAGATGCTGTAATATTGTCTTTTAGACTAACATGCCTTAGTATCTTTTGTGAGTGCCTCTTAATCTGCAGATGAGAAGGGAAATTTCATACATTTGAGGAAAAATAAAACCTATTGGCTTGCCACAGTATGTTTAACAGATCCTTCCAATTATGGCTTTGAGCACATTATCCATCCCATTAGAATGGTGAAAATTAACATTTTTTTAAAGCACTGATATTATTTGTAAATGTAACTTCACATTTGCCTTCAATCAATATCTTGCAAAAGACAAAAAATGCATTACTACCAAAGTTAGAACTTCAGTGGTGGTAAAGCCTTACAGTGTTTCTCAACCTTGACAATTTTAAGGCATTGCTGGCTGTGGAATTCTGGGAGTTGAAGTCCACATGCCTTAAAATTGTCAAGGTTGAGAAACACTGCCTTAGGAACAAGCAGCAACTCACCTGGGGCATCCAGCAGCTCTCTCCGCAGGACTTGTTCTAAATGTTCCAGGGTGATCTCCTCTCTAGCTTGACCAGCTAGCCAGGAATCCAGGGCCACCTTATTGATGATGTTGCCACCAGTGTTGCTGAGTATAAAAAAAGAATATTACAGGTAGTCCTCAACTTACAACCATTTGTTTAGTGATCGTTCAAAGTAGAACAACATTGAAAAAAAGTGACTTATGACCATTTTTCACACTTATAACCACTGCAGCATCCCCACAGGATCTAAATTTGGACACTTGACAACTGGCATGTATTTATGATGGTTGCAGTGTCCTGGGATCATGTGATCACCTTTGGCGATCTTCTGACAAACAAAGTCAATGGGGAAGCCAGAGTCACTTAACAATTGTGTTAGTAACTTAATAACTGCAGTGATTCACTTAATTGTGGCAAGAAAGGTTGTAAAATGGAGCAATGTTCACTTAACTGTCTTGTTTAGCAATGGAAATGTTTAGCTCAATTGTGGTCCTAAGCTGAGGACTATCTGTATCTCATTGACCAACAGAATTTAGCAGTTGCAACAAAATATAACCTTAATACATAAGCTGTCTCGTCCAGTATTCACAATAGTATCATAGGGTAACGTTGTTAGTCATTGTACAAGAAAGTCCCAAGGGTGAAAATTTCTCATTTCTACTGATACACTAAAATCAGCTTGAATTCACTTGTATTTCCCAGAATGGCTTATGGTGGAATGTTAAGGACAGAAAATCTCTCTGCAATCATACAGTATATACATTTTAACCTCCTGTTTCCTGCAATGAGATAAAGATGTGGAACATGACTATTTTACCCATTTCTTTTTTCTCCCACTCTTTTGGGGGATTGTTATTATTAATTATTATTATTAATTATAGTGGAATAGGTAGAGTGAGAAAAGAAGCACTTGTTTTAAGACATCTAATGCATTAATAGCATTCATGTTTGCTGTCTTCCCTCTAAAGATGATTTTCAGTGAGGGATTTGGTTTACTTTGGTAAATCCCCAGCCTCTTAGGAAAAAGCAGTTGGCCTTTAGGTAAACTTTGCTCCTAGTAAATGAGAAAAAAGAAATTGGCACAAATCTTACTAGTTTCAAAGGTCCAGTGCAAAAAAATATAGGTAGCAAAAACTGACTTACAGTGGTAATTTGGTATTCATCTGCTTTGAAACTTATCAAATTTGGTACTCAAGGATTTTGATGTGAAAATTTTGCCCCAGTACTCATCAGGTTCTTAAAGCACAAGCTAGAATTTGTCAATGTTATTCCTTATGGGAAAAATCTGGTACTCATCATTTTTGGTACTTGCTGCACTTCCTAAAACTAATTAATGATGAGTACCCAGGTACCACTGTATTTGCTTTTCAAACTCCATTATTGTTATTAGCAAGCCAGCTTTTAATAAAGGTAGGTGAGATTTTAATTAATGTTCCAAGCTTCTTTTGGGATGTAAGGCAAAGGTAAATATATCCTTTTGCTTAATAAAACTACTGTTGACTACTTGACCACAATCATGCAGTTTTATTCACTGTAGTACGAAAATGGTTTGCCAATGCTTTCTCCTGAATCCTGATAGTTTCCCAAGCATGTTCTTAACCATGGCTGACCCTGCTTAGCTCCAATAAATTCAGCCACCTACAAATTACATTTAAATTGATATACTCAAATCTAATTGGAAAGAAGAAATTTTGAGCGTAGTACAACTTTTTTCCTGAATTTCATTCCTAGTGCCCGGACCCCATGAATATTTTATAGTAAATGTTATTTATTGTATCAGCAGGAGCTGCTTAGAGAGAGAGGTATTCTTAAGTACATGAGTCTTCCCTCTCTAAAGGGAATCCTTGAATATCAGCAACATTGTAGACAGTAGAGTCAGAGAACAAAATGAACCTCTCCTGGATATTTCTGTACTTGCACTATACAGAATTTGTAAAAGGACAGAAATAAATCTTACTGCTTTTGCAAAGTTCAGCTTTTAAGCTAGACCAGGGGTGTCAAACTCAATTTCATTGAGGGCTGCATCAGCATTTTGGTTGCCCTCGGGGTGGGTGTGGGGGGCGTGGCCAGGGTGGGTGCAGCCTCCTGGGTGGGCGTGGCTGGGGTGGGTGTGGCCTAGTGGGTGGGCACAGCCAGCTCTACATTGCTCGTGTCAAGGGTGCCTGTGGGGTCCTGGGTAGGAGTAGGGCAGATCCGAGGGTCTCCGACAGAGGGGGGTGGGACCAGGGCAAGCACCAAGGCATGGTCCACTGGAGGAGCCTCACTGTCCCTCTCAGGCCATGCGGGGAGACTGGACGGTGGCGCCGGCTGCCCAGAGCCCTGGGCAGCAGAAGTCAAACGCCCAGGCCAGCCCACGAGCTCCTGTGGCACCAAGCCCAGCCCCACTTCCCCAAGCGGGCACCTAGCTGTGCTTATCTCAAGGCTGCTGCTGCTGTGCTTGCTCTCCTTAGCCAGGATGCTCATGATGGGTACGAGGGCAAAGTCAGAGGGAGGCCCACTCCCTTTCCATGTGAGGAGGCCCGGCTTTGTATCCAAAGCATCCTTAGCATTAGAATGGGAGACCCCCAGGATAGGCCAGGAGGGGATGGTGAAAGGGGACTTCCCTCAGACCCTCCCTCCCTCCCTTTCCTTCCTCCCTCCCTTTCTTCGTTCCTTTCCTTAAGAACAGAGTGGTGGAAAAATATTTGAGATGAGGGAGGGAGGGAGAAAAACAGGCAAGAAATGCAGCTGGGGAGGTGTCACCCTTGGTGAGGAATGAAGAAATGCACCATTGCCTGGAAGTGGCCAGAAAATGGCCCTCGCCTACTTCACATATCTGGCTTGGTGAGCTCTGGGAGAGGAGACATCGCGAGCAGCAGGAGAGTCGACATTACTTGCACAAAGCCGCCCAGCCCCCAGCCTGCCAATTTTGGCAGGCAGCGCCGTGTTCTCCTCACAGCAGCATTGTACTTCTCATCAGATTCGCGCCACCTGGCTCAGCTCTTGGCGCTGTGAGGAGAGCGCCCCGCTGCCTGCCGAAACCGGGCAGGCTGGGGACTGGGTGGCGTTGCGCAGGTAACATCGACTCTCACACTGCTCGTGGCGTCCCCTCCCCCGGAGCCCACCAAGCTGGATATGTGAAGTAGGCAAGGGCCATTTGTTGGCCACTTCCAGGCAATGATGCATTTCTTCATTCCTCATGAAGGGTAACACCTCCCCAGCATGCGCCCAGAGAGCGGGGCCGACACGACAGGGGGCAGTCCCTCGCTGTTTCCAGACAGCCTTGTGGAGCTAAGACTGAACGTGTTTCAGCATAGATGGCCACCACGAAATTGTACATTGGCTCCCGGCCAGCCTGGGCCGGAGCCAAGGCAGCGGGGACCTTTCCCTCACTGTTTCCAGGATGGCTTTGTGGGCGACATGAAACCACTTTGCAGGTTGGATCTGCCCTGCGGGCCTTGTGTTTCACATGTCTGAGCTAGACCAAATGAAAGTGCAACTCAGGATCTGTTGATGGAAGTGGCAAGAAAAAATTTTTAGGAAGAACTTTTGAATAAACTTGTGGAAGTCTAGATATGTTTCTAGATTTTTTTACCTCATTTTTTTTTTACCCTGGACGACTGTCAGTATTAAAGCAAAGGTCTTTTAATATTCTGAAAAGTCCCCAGAATATATGACTTAGGATTTGTTTCTAACACTTAAAACAAAATTTACCTCAGGAAAATGAAGATGGACCGCCAGTAATGAACCTTGTCAGTGTTGCCATTGTAACCCACATATGGTTTGAGGGCCTTGAGGAGATCAGGATGAAACTTCTCTGCTTCATCAAAGATGAACAAGGATTGTTCACAGAGTTGGGCTGTCTCGGTGATTTGTTTTGTTAGCTGGACCTGAGTGAACAGGCATAAATAATGATGAAATTTGCATAAACAAAATTGGTACAGCCAGAGATTTATTTATGGCCTTATATCCCATCTTTTAGAACTGATGCTTATTACATAGCCTTAATAACCTTTAAAAGCAATTATAAAACATCAAGAAAAATGAAGTCAATATGAAATTACCAACAAAATCTAAAATCCTTGTTTATATGCTACCAGTGAGGGAACCAGAAATATTTTCCAAGGGACAATGATCTATAGATCTGTGATTCCCACCAAGAAGGCTTTTATAATTGCCTGACAAAGCACATTTCTGAGAGCAAATATGGGACAACCCAAAAGTAAATAAAAATGCAGCCTGGCTAAAGGAGGTGGGTAATTTTTTTAAAAAAGATTAAAATGAAAGAATTTGAGAGGCTGCCACAAAGAAGAGGGCATCACGTTATTCACCAAAGCACCAGAGGGTAGGACGAGAAACAATGGTTGGAAACTGATCAAAGAAAGAAGCAACCTGGAATTAAGGAGAAACTTCCTGACATTGAGGACAATTAATGAGTGGAACAGCTTGCCCTGGAAACCGTAGGCACTCAGTCACTGGAGATTTTTTTAAAAAGAGGCTAGACAGTCACTTGTCTGAGATGGTATAGGTTCTCCTGCTTGAACAGGGGGCTGGACTAGAAGACCTCCAAGGTTCGGTTCTATTCTATTCTATTTTATTCTATTCTTAATAATAAAGTTGGAAGAGATCTTGGAGGTCATCGAGTCCAACCCCCTGCTCAGGCAGGAAACCCTATACCATTTCAGACCAATGGCCATCCAGTCTCTTCTTAAAAACCTCCAGTGTTGGAGCATTCACCGCTTCTGGAGGCAGGTTGTTCTACTGGTTAATTGTTCTAATTTTCAGAAAATTTCTCCTTAGCTCTAGATTGCTTCTCTCCTTGATTAGTTTCCATCTGTTGCTTCTTGTCCTTCCTTCAGGCGCCTTGGAAAATAGCTTGACTCCCTCTTCTTTGTGGCAGCCCCTGAGATATTGGAACACTGCTATCATGTCCCCTCTAGTCCTTCTCTTCATTAAACTAGACATACCCAATTCTAGCAACTGTTCCTTATATGCTTTAGCCTCCAATCCTCTAATCATCTTTGTTGCTCTTCTCTGCACTCTTTCTAGAGTCTCAACATCTTTTTTACATCGTGGTGACCAAAACTGGATGCAGTATTCCAAGTGTGGCCTTACCAAGACATTGTAAAGTGATATTAACACTCCACATGATCTTGATTCTATCCCTCTGTTAATGCAGCCCAGCACTGTGTTAGCCGTTTTGGCAGCTGCAGCACACTGCTGGCTCATATTTAAGTGATTGTCCACTAGGACTCTGAGGTCCCTCTCATAGTTACTACTATTGAGCAAGGTACCCCCTATACTATACCTGTACATTTGGTTTTTCTTGCCTAAATGTAGAACCTTACTTTTTTCACTATTGAATTTCATTTTGTTAGATAGCGCCCAGTGTTCAAGTCTGTCCAGATCCTCCTGTATCCTAAGCCTGTCTTCTGGAGTGTTGTCTATTCCTGTCAACTTGGTGTTGTCTGCAAATTTGATGAGTTCCCCATCTATCCCCTTGTCCAGATCGTTGATGAAGATGTTGGGCCCAGAATAGAGCCCTGGGGCACCCACTACACACTTCCCTCCATGTAGATGCAGTTCCATTGAGGACCACACGCTGAGTACGGCCAGCCAGCCAGCTACAGATCCATCTGGTGGTGATGCTGTCTAACCCACATTTTTCTATCTTATCAAGTAATAGGTTGTGATCTACTTTATCAAATGCCTTACTGAAGTCCAAGTAAATTATATCCACAGCATTCCTCTGATCCACTAATTTTTTCACTTGGTCAAAGAACGCAATAAGATTTGTCTGGCATGATCTGTTTTTGACAAACCCATGTTGGCTTTTAGTAATGACTTTGTTTGCCTCTAGGTGTTCGCTGATTCATTGTTTGATTATCTTTTCCAGAATCTTCCCAGTTATTAAGGTCAGGCTGATAGGTCTGTAATTTCCTGGGTCCATTTTTTTCCTTTTTTTGAAGATGGGAACTACATCAGCTCTTTTCCAGTCTTCCGGTAGTTCCCCAGTGCTCCAGGATCTTTGGAAAATATAGTTCAATGGTTCTGAGATCACATCTGCCAGTTCCTTGAGAACCCTGGGGTGTAATCCATCTGGTCCTGGTGATTTGAACTTGTCTAGGCTGGACAGGTGCTCACTTACCATTTTCTTGCCTATCTTAACTTGCGTTTCTATTCTGTTTTTTATGGCACTATTTTTGGTAGGTTGGTCTGTTTTTTCCCTTTGTGTAAAGACAGATGCAAAAAGCGAGTTAAATAGTTCTGCTTTCTCCCTGTTGCTTGTCACCTTCTTGCCACTTTCCCCCACTAATGGACCAATCATTTCCTTCACTTTTTTCTTGTTTTTTACATGTTGAAAGAAGCTATTCTATTCTATTCTATTTCCTATTCCTATTCTAATTTGTAATAACAGCAGAAATAGAGAAAAGAGTAACTGCTTTTGGTTGAAACATGATTGGTCTGTACTTACTCATTGCCAAGCAGTTTAACAATATACTACCAGCAGGTGAAATTGAAGATTGGCTAACTTCTGGCAAAATTCACCTGATAATGAAAGATCCAACAAAAGGGGCAATACCTGGCAACTACAAGCCAGTTACCGGCTTACTTACAACTTTCAAATTGTCGATGAAGATTTTCAGTCATTTAGGTAGAGTTGTCGGAAAGCTGAGTCATGGCAACTGGACTTTTCTTTTTTTAGTTTGAAATGCTTAGCTACTTGGATAAGCATTGGAAGAATATTTGAGGAGAGTGAAGAAGATGCCATAAAGCAGAGTTCCCAACATTTTCAGCTTTATGTACTGGCGGGGTGGGGGTGGGAGAGGGGATGGTTCCGAGCAAATGATAGGCACATGCATAGTTCCATTTGCAGCCACCACTTGCACAAATGGAGCATACATGCATGCAAACATGTGCTTACCCACCACCTCTGCAGCCTGGTTCCAAACAGCTCAAGGCCTAGAGGTGGGCCACGGCCGAGGGTGGGGACCCCTACCATAAAGTCATAATCATTCACAATCATTCATAGTATTCCATAAAGGCTTACTAAATATTGGAGAAACTAAACTGGCCCTCAAGAAAGACTAACTGAAGAACAGAAAAGAAACATGGCAAGGCAAAGGATTACAAAACCAATAAACAAAAAACTAGCAGGCTAAGCAGATAACAGCAAGACTTGGCAAAGGCTAAGAGCAGGAATATTATTAATATTATTAAACACCATCTGTCTATCCCAGATCCTTGGTCAGAACTCGAGAAGTAGACAAAAATGCCAACTCCAATCTAAAGATCTGGCCAACTGCGCAGCCAATCATAACATATTAAATTTTTATGCCACCAAACTCTGGTTGTTCTATTAATTGGGGCCCATGATTCAGATTGCTCAACCAAACTTTTAAACTTGGACCTGCCTTTGACCATCCCTTAGATCAATGATATTGTCCTTACTATTTTGTATCCTGGGCCAAAGTAAATATCCCATGTGCTTTGATCTAGTCTTGTCAAGCTACACTATTTTGTTTGGATCTCTAAGGACAAGCCTCTGCCAATATGCCCTTTGCTAGAGAGAGACAACTCAGCAGAATTAATTCAAGCAGATCTTTGGACATAGGAAAATTTGTATGAACATAGCTAAATTTCAAGTTAATTAGTCAATCCTGGGCTTTTTAAAACCAATGGGAATGACAATCTAGGCAACTAGTACGGGTATGTGGTGTAACATTTCAAATTTCACTGATGTTGTGTTCCCTAAACATTCAGGAATTCTGAAGTTCCTTATTTGTACATTTCTCAAGATAAAAGAATTGATTCACAGATCTTCTGCATACGCCTAAGTAACAGCTCCTTCCTAAAACTGCACTATACTTAACACCTTCCCCTCCCCGTCCCATATACAAATATCCTCTCACCTTGTAAAGGTCCAGGTAATTGGGATGAGGGAAATGAAGTCCTGAGATGAAAATTTTAACACAGTCACTTTTTAGGCCATCTCGATAAAGATGTTCTGCCATTAAACGAGCTACAAAGTTCTTGCCAGTTCCAGACCAGCCATGAAAAGAAAGAGTTAATGCTTTCTTTGGCTGTGGTGTTTCCAGAAAACCCTGAACAGCTTTCAGGACAATTTCTTTTGCCAAATGTTGGCCATGGAGCCGTTTGCTCAGAACCAGTTCCAAGCCTGTGGGAAAGAAAAGAGGATGAATCTCTTGCATATCACTTGGAAACTGTAGAATTGTCAAGCATAAGGATTGTATAAAAGCACAGCGAAACCACAAGTTGTAGCATTGACTCCAAAATCCACTTGTCAAAACACATGACTGTTCTTTCTTTCTTTATAGAAATTCGTAGTTCTTGTAGCTGTGGAAGAACATATGCTTAATGTGGGAGAGAAATCTCTAATGGTCCTTCACAAAAGAAAGATTTCTGATAACTGCATTTGATAAAGTATTCTCTATGTAAATTCTTATTTCTTATCTCTGATCCTTTGCTTCAGCAAGTAACTTGGAAAACATGACACAACCTGCAGAATTAATCCACACTGAAAACAAAAATGTTTTTTGAAAGTGATCAGAGAATATGCAAACCCAGTTTCTATTAAAGGCGACAATTGTGGTTTGAGCAAAATGGCTATTTCCTCATCTCCCAGAGCACAAAACCCACCAAAGACTGGAGAAGCAACTATATGGAGCACTTGTGGGTGATCTCATGTCCTCTCCTTGTCTGGAGAGGAATTACGAAGAGCCAATCTACTTGCTTTTAGGGGAGTCATCTTCAGTTCACCATTTCTTCCCAATTAATTTGATCAAATATGTATTCAATCTCAGTGCTTTAATCATTAGTTTATAACTGAAAGAATTGGTCTCTATTTCAAATAAAAAAGGAACAGTGCAACTTTAGTTTGTTGGAACTACAAGGGAAAGAATTTGTTTTTATAGCTTTGTCATCCTCCAGAAAGATATAGTATTATACTAAAAAGAGATGCAATTGGGAAAAGAGTATTGAGTACTATAACTTATTTTTAATAAACAAAACAAAATCCACAGTGCCTAAGGCAGAGCTGATCGGTCTTTGAGCCAAATAAAGCTGTGTAGCACTCCCAGATCACACTCCTAAATTTCAGAAGCATAAATGCTGACTTTTAGTAATACAGTATTTTTAATATGGAGGAGGGGAGGAATTAAAATAAGGAGAAAGTAAAGTCTATACCTGTGATATTGTTGACCACTCTGCAGTCTCCTGTTGGGCAGCACCTGCCAAAGCCACAGTACCAGGTAGAGACTAATTCAGTTACCATGGATAACTTCCAATCTAAAATGTAAGAGAACCAGATTGGGAAAAGAAAAATTTGAATTGTGCCTAGGCAATTGGCTTGAAGAAACTTCTACTTGTTCCCCATCCTCAGTCTGTTTTTCAAATCTTGCTGTTACCTATTATATTTTCATTGCGTCTGATGAAAACTATTCACTTGCCCAAAGTAACCAACACTGCATGGCAACTCTTCTTTTTCTTTTCATTTCTGCTGCAAGTGCAATAGCAGCTTTGTCTACTATTCTTCTACAAGTGTAATTCCGCTTTTCATGGGTTACTATTATTTTTAACACTGAACTAAACCAGCCAGTCTGGGATAGCCAATTGAAAGGACACAGGGATTTCAGCACACAGATGCAAAGATATAAGAAACCCAACAAGAAAACCAAGCCTGTTTGTTCCCTATAATCCTTTTCTGCTTTCACCGACAATGAAAAAATTGTAAAGGTAGACCACACATGGGCAGAGAACATCTCTATGTTCTATCTAGAAAAGCATTTCTCAACCTTGGCACCTTTATGAGACAGTGACTTCAACTCCCAGAATTCCCAGTAAGGCCAGCATCTTGAAGTCCAGGCCTGTTAAAGTTGCCAAGCTGAAAAACACTGTTCTAGAAGGAAGGAAGTGGTTAAGTTTTGGATGGATAAATTTTGCCAAAAATAAGAGGCCACACATGGAAAGTTTCCACTATTGTAATTCAGACGAAATTGGAATTGGATTAGTCTTTCTCCCCTGATGTCCTGTTCATTGTCATGCCTGTGTTTGAGAGCTGTTTTCTATAGGATTGGCTCACTATTAGGAGACTAAAGAATCCAATCCATTTTCCAGAAGGCTCTTGAGGCTTTTTTTTTTTATGGCCCATGGTGTCTGTTCTGCCTGGTCATCATAGGATTTTACGTTGTCATTCTGCACATGTAAAATTGGTTTTGCTGTACAGAGAGCAATACTGTAAAGGGGCAACGGACTTGCTACTTGATTGTAAAGTTTGACATTTTACTTCTATAATTATCTCAGAGCAATATGAAACATATTCCAAAATACCTAGATAAATCAGAATAAAAATCATTTATTAAACCTATAAATTATATGATGTTAGTAAAACCTTGTGGGCTTTCATGGAGCATTTTTCTTTATCCTTTAATCAATTTATTTGGGCATTTCTTAGAAGGAAGATATATCCGACTGAATCCCCAAGGTTTAAAATATCAATGCAAAACGGAATTTATTCTATGCCCTCCTGAGCTGTAATACCACGTTCAGAATATATTTAGAAATGGGATTGAAGTCTGCATTAAAGAGAAGTCTGCATTAAAGAGCAGCACACTTCCGCGTCCTCTTTTCCATAGAAACCACAGTAAGAATTCTGGGAGTTAAAGGCTGCAAGTGTGAAGTCGGCGCCCATTCGCGAGTGAGAAATACAGCAAGCGCCAGGGAGGAAAAAAAATCCCGGGGATCCTACCATGCTGTTCCAGGATGCCTCTGCTGCCTTCCTCTTCTTCCTCGCGCTGCGTCCTCCCTTCCTCCTCTTCCTCGCAGCCTTCCTGCCACAACTGGCAGGCCAACAAGTGCCAGTACCGGCGGGAAACGTCCCGCACGGCCCCAAGCTGCTTCTGCAAATGCTCATACTGCCGGTGGCTCAGGAGATCCGCGCTTCCTGCCTCTTCCCTACGGTCCTTACTCGCCTGCGCCTGTTCGCCCATCAACTGCAACGCCAGGCAGATATATAGCAGCACAGTCCGGCACCCCATAGCCATCTGTGGAAAGAGGAAGCTGGAGCTACGGCACCGGACTGTCTATATCGCTGGGAAGCCGAGACCAAGCTCAGCTCTGCAATGACTTGGGAGCTGATCTCATTTCCTTTTAGCTAGCGGGACTGTTTCCTCCTTTCCCCAGAGGCTGAAGGCCTTTCGCAAGTCTGATTTGGAGAGAGATGTCCCCCTGGATTTTGGAACCCAACTCGTGTAGTTTGGCTTTGCTTCCTTCAGAATAAATTGATTGAGAAAGAATAAATGAGAGAGTGGGCGGAGCCTTTTGGCCCGTGCTCGTTTGTTTCGTCTAGAGTCGGAAGGGGCTCTCTGACCTGCCCTGTCCTGGAAAGGGGGAGAAGGGCGCCCGGGGTAACTGCTATAGCCCTGTCGGATGTTTTCCTTGAATGGAGATAGACTATGCTGGGATCATCCTCTTTATCACTTCCAAGAAGTTTTAATTTCTCATTTTGGGTGATCGCAACAAAATAACTGCCCCCCCCCCCGTGCATATTCTCCACTGAAGAGAAAGGGGCGGGGAGGCTTAATGAGACCTGCCGTTTCTTGCGCTGCTAAGGGGAGTATTTGATTTCACGAGGTTCCGTTCCGGTAATAACACTGCGACGTGCGCCTAGCCAGGGATCCGGTTGTCCTGCTAGCCTGAGGGAAGTTAGCCCATAGAAGGAAATATTAAAAAGGCAGAAAAATATATTTTTCTTCAAAAGGACTTTTTTAAAACCAAACCTGGCCCCAAATCTATCTCTCTGCCCCAAGCAAGACTTTAGCCCCATACAAATGCAGATGTAAAACCATCAGAGAGTTGAAGCCAGAGCAATCAAGAAGACAAAGAGAAGATCTGCATACCCTACCCAAACTCTAGGAGTCATTAGCCCCATCACCTGGGAAGCAGGATATGATAATAGGATTAAACTACAGATATCAAGGCCTAGACAAACACTCAGAAATAGCCTCTAGGTTCATGCCACAGAAACAGGAAACTATTCCAAACAAGGCTAGAGGGTATAAAAAAATCTACTGCCCATGTGCTCTCTCTTTTTCCTCTCCTCTGCTCCTTCCTGCAAGGACCATCTTTCTGCTTCTTCAATAAACTGTAACCTTCTTCCCAAAGCAGTCTCCATGTTGCCTATTTATTCACAGCTTGGATGAACCAGGATGAAGACTTACTTCTCACATCTTCCTTACCTGCACCCTGATGGTAAGGTGACCAACTGTCCAACTTTAGGGAGGACAGTCCTCCTTTTGTGAGTTCTGTCCTCCCTCGAAAAGTGTCCTCCTATATGTCCTCCTTTTCGATATTTGAAGACTAATCTGCAGGGCTTTTTTTCCCTCATAGAACACTCAGAACGGCATTCCGGCACCTTTTTTTTATTTTTTTTAACTTTTGCATGAGCCAGTGGTGGTGAACCTATGGCATGCATGCCAGAGGTGGCACCCAGAGCCCTCTCTGTGGGCACATGCACCATGCCCGAGAGATGGCAACAGTCCCTCTTCAACCAGCCACCCACTAACTGGCCGAGGGCCCATGTGACCGGATGCATCCCAGTACCCATGCATTTGCTGGCCTCTGTGTGCGGGGGCTGATGGTGTCAGGCAGCAGCCACCCCAGCCTCTGCCTCATCTCGCCCTGTGACAATGGCACCCCCGCCCTGCCTCGCCTTGCCTCACCCTGCAGGATGAGCCTCCTGCCCGAGACCCCCTGGATCTTCCCCAACCCTGCCTGGCCCCCACAGGCGTCCCTCCACATGAGCAACATCAAGGTGATCACGTCCATCTTGGCCACACCCACCCAATCTGCCATGACCACCACAGCCACACCCACCCAGTGGGCACACCCACCTGGCATTTGGCAATAAATAAGTGGGTTTTTGGTTGCAGTTTGGGCACTCAGTCTCTAAAAGGTTCGCCATCACTGGCATGAACTGTGCTACTCCTCCTATTGGCTTTCAAAAGCCAATAGGAATTGCTGCTGAATGTGCCAAAACACCCGGCCAGCAAACTTTGCACATGTAAGTTGTCTGCAGCAAAGACGAATTGGCAGGAACTTTGCACCCCTCCCTGCTACCCAACTACACCATCTCCTAGTTAATCCAAAGATACCTGGAGGAGACTGGAGCGGCGACACCATGGTAACTTTCTCTTGATCTTCGGCCCTGCTAGGGCAATAATGGCTGCAGGCACAAGAGGCAGGGGCGGCGGGGCTGCTGTGGGTGGGGGTATGAGGGGTGGCAGTGGCCGGCTGCCCCCTGTGCTGTGGGAGCTTCGGGGGTCTGCTCTACCCGGGGCTGTGCAGGATGGGCGGTGGTGCTGGTGGGGCGGCTGCAGGCGGGGTGTGTCAGGCTGTCCCCCAGGGCTGGAGCCAGCACAGCTGGTGCTTTGGGAGCCGCGGAGCCCACTCTACACGGTGGGGCAGTGGTGCTGGCGGGGCGGCGGCATGTAAGCATAGTTACAATATAAAATGTTATTGTTACAAATGTTTTTTATTATGCATTTATCATATTATAGTGTATTCTGTATTATTGTTGCAATGAATAAAATGTTTCTTTTATTTACGATATTTTTTCTTCAATTTATTTGTGTCCTCCTTTTCATTGTAAAAAAGTTGGTCACCTTACTGATGGGCAGTACTCTTTATTCAGGCACACACGTTTAGTTGCAATGGGATTGCATTTACTGGTGTTTTGTTTGGTTTTAAATTTCATTGGGGAGGAAATGGAATGAAGGCAGGACAATATAGGAAGCTCTCCTGTTCCTAAGAAGTGAAAAGAGTAAGAAAATGGCCTATTTGGGCAGGAAGGCTTTTTTTCTTTTTTCTTTCTGCTCATGCTACATGCTAGGGAACTGAATGGGGTTCTTCTGTTTAAATTGGTGGTGTTTAAAGTGACTTGTGTTTCTGCAGATCTTGAGGGCCCAAATCAAAACAGATTAGGGGAGGTTAAGGAGGTGGGCTGCCTCAACTGAACCACAAAAGTCTAATCCACCAGACAGAAATTCTTTGCTACAGTTTGATAATTGTCTGCATTTTAGCAGCCCGGATCTAATAGCCTGTCTGGGAACACCCTCAAGATCTGTAGCTTGTCAGATGCAATCACATGGTTTATGCATTTTGCATGTACTCTTCACTTCAGGAAACAAAGTTTGGAATTTTTTGCAGAATTTTGAAGAACTATATGTCCTTATGTGTGACAGAAGAATAAAATAATTTAGTGTTCTCTGTAAGCAATGATGAAAGGTATATATTTAGAAGACTGCCACAATAGCGCACATTGACATTTTCTTTGCTAACATGATGGCTCCCAAATTATTGGACTGTAATTCTCAGAATTTCAAGTTATTTGCCAGAGAAAAAAATAAGGTGAAAACTAAGACACTTTGCAAGATACTAAATTCCACAGAGAAGTCATAATGGTGATATCTGTGATTCGGTGACAACCATGATCCAGCAATAGTAGTCAGTAGAGACCTTTATGTCACTTCTAACTTTGAAATCACATGCAAGATGCTTACACAACCTAGCTGTGTGTACATAAACATACAGATACCGTACATTCTGGCGTATAAGACGACTGGGCATATAAGACGACCCCCAACTTTTGAGAAGATTTTCAGGGTTTAGAAAGTCATCTTATACGCCGGAAAATACGGTACAATATTGAATTTCTGTTTATAGATGAGCACAATAGGAGCTCCATTCCTTTGCTGCTAGAAAGCGAGTGTTGCCCACCATTGCTTCCCTAATGCTTCCTGAACTCAGCTGGTATTTTTTTCCCTATATATTTTATTGATTTTTTAAAACATAAATCACTTAATAGTTGGTAAACAGTGTGTTTTCTGGGTTTACATTTGTAAAGAAAAATCATTAACAATTGGTTTCTATAATCTATAATCCACATAATACATTTAGTTGATTTCCCCTTTTCCCCAAAATGTCTTCTTTGCAAACCTTGAAATAATATAGTTCTTATTATTTTGATAAAATATATTTAATCTTTAAATATTCCATTTAATGTGCCTAGTCGTCTAATCCTTTAGGTCTTATTCAAAACATTTTTTTTCTTTTTTATACATTATAATTTCCCTAAATTCAGACACATTTAGTTATCTAAAACATTTACTTCATCTAGGCCATTTCAGCAGTATTATATTACTTATATCAAGAAATAAAAGGGGGGAAAAGCATACAGTATTATTTAAGGAATTCATCTCTCTTAGAATGACATATGTATTCAGAATCTTTTCTGTTTCTTTTACCATATTCAAACAAATATTTCTTTTTTAAATATTCTCTCTGGTAGATCCCATCATCTATTTTCTTAATTTTCACTTTGATCTTTTTCCTTTGACCAGTATCTTTCTTAATCAATTGATTTGCTGAATCAAATTTTTTCCCATATATTCATGACTGCTGCTATAGGTATAAGAAGTAAATCAAATGTTTCTTTTTTTTGTAGATGTAATGTCCTTAATTTATATAGCTTACTGTTTTCTACTATTTAATTGCTTTTCCTGAAAAAAAATAAAGTGATGGGCGATGTAGAAAAATGGGATTTTTGAATGCTTTGTCCTGCTGGCTGTGGAATTCTGGGAGTTGAAATCCACATGCCTTAAAATTGTCAAGGTTGAGAAACACTGTGTTAGTGCTTATTTCTGTAAAAAAAATAGGGCTGGCCACTAGGGGGCAGATTGGTTTTAAATTCAGAGAACAGCTACCCGGCGTATAAGACGACCCCGGACTTTTGAGAAGATTTTCAGGGTTTAGAAAGTCATCTTATACGCCGGAAAATATGGTATGTAATATTCATGAAACATCTAAATAAATTCTAATCAACTTTCTGTAATTTGACCTCAAGACATACTGAAGATGAACTCCCATCACTATCAGGCAACAAAAGCAGGAAATTAAGATAGTTATTTTAACCTTCTTTATTTAATTGCTATGAATGGAAACAAAGATTTCCTGGAGGATATGAATGTGTCTTTCTGTTTGCAATAAGAAGAAGCCACGACCCCTGCTTGGGATATGAAGGATTGCAATCTCCTATAATAAAATGTTCCCTTTATTCTCTAAAGGCTAGTACTCCTTTATGGCACATGCAACAAATTGATTATTCTAGTTAGTTTAATTTTAACTTGAAGAATCACAGGTTGTTCAGGTCTGCACCCTAAGCAGGAATGACTCAGGTATGCTAATATTGTCCTAGTTGACTATAATTGCTATCTGCAGTAAGAATTTCATAGGTCAGACATGTCAAACACAAGGCCCGGGGGCCGGATGTGGCCCACGAAGTGGTTTTATGTGGCCCGCGAAGCCATCCTGGAAACAGTGAGGGAATGGCCCCCTCTGCCTTGGCCCCGGCCCTGGCCGCCCGGGAACCAATGTACAATTTTGTGGTGGCTGTCTATGCTGAAATGCATTGTCTTAGCTCCATAAGGCCGTCTGGAAACAGCGAGAAACCAGCCCCTGCCACATTGGCCCCGCCCCTGGGTGCATGCTGGGGAGGTGTCACCCTTTGTAAGGAATGAAGAAATGCACCATTGCCTGGAAGTGGCCAGCAAATGGCCCTTGCCTACTTCACCTATCCGGCCTGATGGGTTCTGGGGGAGGGGTTTCGACAGGCAGCGGGGCGCTTTCCTCACAGGGCCAAGAGGCTGAGCTGGGCAGCACGAATCCAAAAAGAAGCGCAAGGCCGCCCAGCTCCCAGACTGCCCAATTTCGGCAGTCAGCAGGGCGCTCTCCTCACAGCACCAAGAGCTGAGCCAGGTGGCACCAATCTGATGAGCAGTGCAATGCTGCCTAGCCCCCAGTCTGCCCAGTTTCAGCAGGCAGCAAGGTGCAAACCTGATGAGCTTCGCATCGCCCGGCTCAACCTCTCGGCGCTGTGAGGAGAATGCCCCGCTGCCTGCCGAGACCGAGCAGGCTGGGGGCTGGGCGGCATTGCGCAGGTAATGTTGACTCTCACGCTGCTCATGGCATCCCCTCTCCCAGAGCCCACCAAGCCAGATATGTGAAGTAGGTGAGGTCCGTGGGCTGGCTACTTCCAGGTGATGGTGCATTTTTTCATTCCTCATGAAGGGTGACACCTCCCCAGCTGCGTTTCTTGCCTGTTTTTCTCCCTCTCTCATCTCAAATAGTTCCCCACCACTTTGTACTTAGGAAGGAAAGAACGAAAGGAGAGGGAGGGTCTGAGGGAACTCCTGCCTTAGTCCTGCCCTGCTAACCTTTCACCATCCCCTTGCCTCCTCCTCCTGGCCTATCCTGGGGGTCTCCCATCCTATTGCTAAGGAAGCTTTGGATACAAAGCCGGGTCTACTCCCATGGAGAGAAAATGGGCCTCCCTCTGACTATGCCCTCGTACCCATCATGAGCAACCTGGCTAAGGAGAGCAAGCACAGCAGCAGCAGCCTTGAGGAGGAGGTAAGTGCAGCTGGGCGCCCCCTTGGGGAAGTGGAGCTGGTCTTGGTGCCACGGGTGCTCGAGGGCCACGCTAGGCGTTTCCTTTGCTGCCCAGGGCTCCGGACAGCACTCACCACCATCCAGCCCCCCACACACATGGCCTGAGAGGAACAGAGAGGCTCCTCCAGTGGACCATGCCTTGGCACTTGCCCTGGTCCCACCCCCTTCTGCCAGAGACTCTCAGATCTGTCCCACTCCTGCCCAGGCCCCCACAGGCACACTTGATGCGAACGATGTAGAGTTGGCCATGCCCACCCAGTAGGCCACACCTACTCCATCCACGCCCATCCAGTAGTCCGCACCCACCCGGCCCCCCAAGGGCAACCACAATGCCGATGCGGCCTTCAATGACATTGAGTTTGACACCCCTGCCATAGGTCATCTACATGATATGCAATATATATTTCTTTCACATTACACTTTTCTTAACTACTTAAGGAGTTACATTTACTTTATCCCATAAGTACATACTGTACAAAAAAACTAAACAGGAAAAAAAACCAATGACATACTCAAGTACATTTGCTACTGTTAAAACTGCCCATTTCTCTCTTCTTGATATGATTGGGTTGATTTGCTTCAAGGTGATTACTTTCATAAATCTGAGTGATTTACTTGGCCAATAGTTCCTAAATAAGGCAAAATTAACAGTCATTACGTGTGGATAATGAATTCTTTTAAATACTGGAAAATACAACATCTCTACCTCACAGAGTTTCTGTTCTAAGTACCCTGAGATACATCTGAACATGAATGACTTCTGCTCTAATTTGATATATATATATTGCATAGAATATTTTTGTTCTGAAATCCAAATCAAAAATTAATACACTCAGCACTTGTTATTATGTTTATTATATATATTAATAAATTATTTTAAATAGGTTAAAATTCCTTACCTTACAGATCCAGCAGATGCCTCTTTATTTATAGCTCAACAAATGTCTCTTTATTTAGAGCTAAAACAGATACATTTTTTCTATGCATAAGGTAAAAGTTTTTCGTTTAAATGAGTATGCCTAAAATGTACGTCTTCCTTTACATAAAGTGTGATACATTATGTGCTGGTTTGTTTCAAATGTCAAGAGTCATCTTTTTTATAAAATGGCTGCTGCCAGTACAATAATTTAACATAGAAGAAAACATTCCTTCCCACATTATTGCTATGATCAATTTGGTCACGCTTATGTCTCCCTGTGTTGCATTTTCTTAAATACCAGGAAGAAAGTGGACACTACTGCCCGTCCTACATTAGCCCAAACTACCATATTGTTTGGGAATTCTGAAGCATATCTGAAGTATGGAAGATTATTGTTTTTCAGTGCCCTTTCTTAGCAAAACAGGTATAACAAATCTGAACTACTATGAAAGCTATATAAGCCATGGTCTCTGCAATACAAAATCATATTAATAATTTTTGTGAAGTGAACAACTTGAAAGAAAAGCATGAATGCTTGCCTTTCATTTGCTAAATGGATATTATTATTTTATGTATTAAATTTTTATCCCATCTTTATAAGTAATTCAAGGTGGCAAACATAAATATAATCCTTCCTCTTCTTCTTTTTCCCCACAACAACCACTCAATGAGGTGGGTTGGGCAAGAGAGAGTAACTGGGAGTGACTCAAAGTCATCAAGCTAATGCCTAAGGCAGGATATAGAACTCAAAATTTCCTGGTTTCTAGGCCAGCACCTTAACTTTAAGCTATTGTTCATCTATAGATATAATATCTGCTAATAACAATATTTGCAATCTCATGCATTCTTATCTAGAAAAAGAGCCAAATAACATGTGTCATTTTAAAATAAAGACTCCATTAATTTTCAAATTTCTAAAAAATGACATCAGGTGGCACTGTTTCACAAGAAAATAAATCTTTCCTTGTCTAGCAGGCTCCAATCTGTGTGCCAGTTTATAAACCGTTAGAAAAGTAGAACTCTTAAGAACATTGTTCCTGAACAGAGACTTTTATTTACAAACACAGATATCAACAGACCTACCTTTCCTGAACATTTATTTCCCAATTATACATTTAGGCTAAAAATCACTTGGGGAACAAATTCACTCACTGCTATACAGTGGTTCTCAACCTGTGGGTCGGGACCCCATTTGGGGTCGAATGACCATTTCATGGGGGTCGCCAAACAAGGCTGTCCGCCATTTCCCCCCCCTTTTCTTTGGCCACGCCCCTGGCACCCGGTGATGTATAAGTGGTTGGGGGTCACCACAACATGGGGAACTGTATTATGGGGTCACAGCATTAGAAAGGTTGAGAACCACTGCTGTATAGCTTTGCTGGCATCAAATATCTGCCATCCCTTGCATGTCCATACCTGATTTAAGAACATTTGCCAATGACTACAAGTTCCCCCCAAGCTCTGTGTGACAATTTCTTCCTTAATTTAGCTGGCTTGCTGTTTTCAAAATTCTTAGAGGGTTAGAAGGCTTTCCCTAAGTCAAACGGAACGGCCACCGCCGTTCCAGAATCACTGGAGCACTCTTCTTTCTTCATCGCTTCTCCGGGGCGACTTAGACCCATTTAGGGTCCCCAGGCAGGGCAAAATTAGCCACGGGGGTGTGGAGAATCCGCAAGCCCGCAACTGGTTGCTACTGGCCTGTAATATATTTCTGTATTCGTCTTCTAGCTCAATAAAAATCTGTCGAGAGAGAGAGAGAGAGAGAGAGAGAGAGAGAGAGACTGACAAAATGGAGTGGATTTGGCTGGAGACTGCAGAAAGAAAAAAATTATCTAATGCATTCTTAGGATAAAGGAGAGGTAGCTCAGCAAATACTGGAAAAATTAGAATGCTCCATTTTAAGCCCGTCCACCTTCCTTCAAGGTCATGTGATCCACAGCAGCCCTAAAATTAAGGTATTTATTTATGTATTATATTTTTATGCCATATTTATTTTTTTATAAATAAGGCATCTAATAATTTTTTCTCACGTTTTCTACACAACCAAACCCTCTGAGGTAGAGAGTGACTGGTTCAAGGACATCCAGCTGGTTTTCAAGGCAGGACTTGAACTCACCATCTCCTGGTTTCTAGTGTTGAAAGAAATTTCAGAATCCATTACTACTTCTATTTTGTTAAAAGAGTAAATAACTACAGTTTAAATTATTTGACTCCAAGCACACATTTGTATAAACAGCCCATTTTTCTTGTCAAGATATACATTCTTGGATTCCTTAGGTGAAAAACACTGACATGAAAAATTACTCAAGGACATTGCAATACAGAATTTTCCAGAGACTGATGTTGCTGATAAGATTGCATTTGTTTGAACCAGATTTCTTAACCTAAAATGTAATAGTCATCAAAATCTGACTAGATGACATATAAACTAATGCACTCCAATTATACATTTAAAATAATGTTTAGCATTTGCACCTTTGTCACAAGCTACTGCCATATAAAAGCATTTGACTGTCTTAGCCCTCTTCACCATTCCGATGTCCTCCAGTTATGTTAAACTACATTACCCCATCCAGCTCAAATGCTAAGAGTTGTAATCAAACTACTGTTGTGGCTGATAGGAATTGTCATCTTGAGCTATTTTAACCCAACATTTTGAACAAATTAGGCTAACATTGAATGACATGTGGACCCAATAAACCTGGCCAGAGTTAAGTCAACTCCATAGGCTGTGTTCACATAGTCATATTGAAATGACTAATCATGTTTTAACCTTAGAGGCTGAATGAATTTGATCAGTGTTAACTTGTTTCAATGTTTCGTGCAATTCAGACAACCATTAAGTATCTAAACACCCGGTTTGCCTTTTCTGGTCTTGTTAGAGAAGCGGGGTTGAACTTCGGTGATGGAAAGCCCTTGGGGAATTCCTGAATTTTAAACTATCTGGAAAGACTGGTTGCGCCTTTGACGTCAGACTTCAAGCTGACTCTCTAGGGCATATTATTTGATATCTCTGAATATGTAAGCAAGTCCTGGTAGCAAAACTCCGTGGGTGAGAAAGAGTAGGATGATATAATGCACGGATGTCTTAGCCACGTCAATCTGCTGCAAACTACAAGTTGTGAGTCACCATAATATTACTAAATACACACACATACACACCCCAATTCATTAGTTTCCCTCAGGATACATTTGTATAGGAGCTCGAGCGGGGTCGCGATTGCCTCTGGGCCTGTGCTTGGAAAGAGCTTCCTTTTCCGCCATAGCATTCCCCACAAGATGGGGGCCCGACAGCAACGCCCACCCGCTTCCTTCGAAGGTAGTTAGCTTGCCCGCCTCCTCGAGTTTAGGAACACCCGGACCCCGATTCAGGAGCTTCGCACAGCCGGCCGCTTTCTGCGGCCAATAGCCAATGGGCAGCGGCGACACTCGTCCTTTTCTTGAGTGGGTTTCCCCGCCCCTCTATGACGAAGGCAACGGAGAAGAAAAACGCACGGCGGCCGGCTGGGTTCTGCGTAGTGGTGAAAGTCGCAAAGCTGGAGACGAAGCGGAGTCGAAAGAGGCAGGTGGTGGTTCACAAGGTAAGAAATGGCAGAGGCGAGACTGAGGTTGCTGAACTTCCCTCTTCTTACCCGGCGAAGGCATTGAACAGGGGGCGAAGGGGACAGGAAGCGAGGGGAGCTGGGCCGCGTCCTCCGCTTGTGCTTAAGGGCTGAGACCTGTGGCATCAAACCCCAGGGAGCTTTGCAACTTTACCCTGTCTATTTCGGCTCCACAAGGGATTCCTCTGTTAATTTCAACCGGATTGAATCTTAGAGAAAGGCGTAGGGCAGGATGATAGCCTCAGGAGCCCTGAGTTTTCAGATTGTCTTAATCCTCTTATGTTCTCTTCCCTCATGTCCGATTTGTGCACATGGTTGGTGGAGGGTTGCGCAACGTGGACTCCCTCCATCAAGGATCCAGATTAGAAGGAGCTGGACTAATGGGGGTCCTGGATGAAAAGAGAACAAGATGAAAGAAAAGTATCATGTGGCTTCTCCCTTTATTTAGGGCATATATTCAGCCTTCCTAGCAAGTGCAGGGGAGTGGAGAACACTCTCTGTCTCTGCTGCATAGCCAGTCTGATAATCATTGTTAGACAGCACATCTCTCTCTGCCAGCTGGGGATGATGGAACTGGCCCATCATATCTTCATGGCATTAAATTGAAGAAGGATGAAATTTGCACCTACCAAGCAAGATCTATCTGGGTAGAGAGAAATCACTCGACAATTCCAATTTTTTCTAGCTAGATTAGGAAGAAAATTGGCAAATCACTTCTGTAATTAAAAGCTAACTAAATGACTGTCGGGTTATCCTATCTCATAGGATTGTTGGGGGGTGTGTGTGAAACAGGAGTCAGGAGCATTGTCTATATCAGGGCTTTTCAATCTTTTCACCCATTGTACCACTTTTAGGATATGGCAACAGCCGAGTACCACCAGTCGCCTAGCAAGGTGTCAGAAACTTGATGACCAAAAAAAAAAAAAGGAAAAAAGTGATAAAGTACAAGTAGTCCTCGACTTACAACAGTTCGCTTAGTGACTGTTTGAAGTTACAATGGCACTGAAAAAAGTGGCCCCCAAGCCACAGCCGAGCAAGACAACTGCCTGCCCGCCCAGCCACGCTCTTCCTGCTGTCCGAGATTTTCATTGTTGTGAGCATTTCTGTTGAGGATTGGCAGCAGGGATGGGGTGGGAGGATGTTTGGTTTTTATTCCCCCCGTCTGCTGGGTGGTTGCAGCAGGTTTTGGTCACTTCACATGACCCTGGGACACTTTGACCGTCATAAATATGAATCAGTTGCCAAGCATCTGAATGTAAATCACAAGACCCTGGAGATGCTGCAACATTCCAGCTGATCGGCGCTTCTTCTGGACTCAGCGGTAGCGCCAGGATCAGCGCCGAGCTCCAGCTGGAGCCTGGCGCTGATCCTGGCACTTCCGCTGAGCCCTGACAGCCATGCAGCTCCAACCATCTCTCGCTCAGGCTTGTGCGGTGCTGCCACCGGTTCAGCTCATTCCCCTCTCCCGCTACCACTTTTCTAGGATGGTCGCGTACCACCTGCCAGGGGCCAATGTACCGCAAGTGGTACCCGTACCACTGGTTGAAAAGCTCTGGTCTATATCAGGGCTTTTCAACCTTATCCTAGACTGTACCACTTTTAGGTTAGATTCATTTGTTGTTATAGAAATGACTAGTTTATAATATTATAGAAAAGTAAAAAGTTAAGGTTCAATGTTAATGCTTCCTTCTACTGCAGGGGTGTCAAACTCAATTTCATTGAAGGCTGCATCAGCATTGCAGTTGTCCTCGGGGGGAGTGGGTAGGTGTGGCCAGGGGGACACGGCCTACTGGGTGGGCATGGCTGGAGTGGGTGTGGCCTACTGTGTGGGCATGGCCAGCTCCACATTGTTCGCGTCAAGGGTGACTGTGGGGGCCTGGGCAGGAGTGGGACAGATCTGAGGGTCTCTGACAGAAGGGGGTGGGACCAGGGCAAGCGCCAAGGCATGGTCCACTGGAAGAGCCTGCCAAAACCCCTCCCCCGGAGCCCATCAAGCCGGATATGTGAAGTAGGTGAGGGCCATTTGCTGGCTACTTTCAGGCGATGGTGCATTTCTTCATTCCTCACAAAGGGTGACACCTCCCCAGCGCGCACCCAGGGGGCGGGGCCAATGCAGCAGGGACCAGTCCCTCGTTGTTTCCAGACGGCTTTGTAATGCTAAAACTGAAAGTGTTTCAGCATAGATGACCACCACAAAATTGTACATTGGCTCCTGGGCGGCCAGGGTCAGGGCCAAGGCAAGCGGGGGCCATTTCTTCACTGTTTCCAGGATGGCTTTGTGGGCCACATGAAACCACATCGCGGGCCATATCCAGCCCCCGGGCCTTGTTTTTGACATGTCTGTTCTACTGCAACAGAGGAAGTCTGTTCTTTTTCTCTTCTCCCCCTCACTTTCCCCCCCTTTTCCTCCCCACTGTGTCCTGCTATTTGCTTTTGTATTTTTGCATTTTATTCTATAATCTAATAAAATATTACAAATTGTAGGAAAAAAGAAAAAAAGTACCTTTTAATTTCTTTGATGGCTGTTCCTTTGCTGAATCACTTTCCCTTTGCACTGACAAATGTATGATGGATTTATCCATGTTTATTAAAATGCATCACTGCCAGCTAGCTCAGGAGTCTTCAAACTTGGCACTTTTAAGACTCATGGACTTCAACTCCCAGAATTCCTCACCCATCATGGTTGAATGAGGAATTCTGGGAGTTGAAGTCCACAGGTCTTAAAGTTGCTAAGTTTGTAGACCCCTGAGCTAGCTGGTCGGCCCTTCTTAGCATTCCTTCCACAGTGTAGTAAGAATGCACCACCCCATCCCTTCCCTATACCTTGAGAGACACAGGAATCAAGTGCAAAGCAAGAAAGTCTCACAAAATAAACACATAAACTCTGGGTTTTTTTTTCCTCTTTAAGCTGCCTCAGAGGTGTCACTTATCACAATGTTGCAATCCCAGACTGAAAAGCTCGCAATTGCGAAAAGCTTTAGCTTTCAAACTAAACCTGTTTACCTACAAAGAAAGCCATAGATAGACTCAAGATAAGAGGGTAAAATTAATTACATTTGTTTAAAGGGATTAAACCTATGCAAGTCAACACTTTGGACTCATTGCTATCCTTATGGTAACCCAATTAAGCTGCTAACTGATCCAGAATTAAATAAACCCACCTCCTTTCCGACATGCCAGCTTTTCATTTCATCAGCACTGTTTGCATTCTCCTGGCTGGAGAAAACGAACCAGGGGACATTTTCTTCCAGCAACAGCTGCTGCTTCTTCTCTGTCCCTGTTTCTTCCTTGTCGGCTGACCTCTCCTCTTTCCCTGTTGTCTTTTTTTTCCCTTTCCTGCCCAAACCACCTCCTTTTATAGCCTCTCCTCTCTCCCCCCCCTTTTCTTCAGTTCACTTCCATGCTGCTTCGGGAAGCGCCAATCAGCTGGATCCCTGCCGGCTCCTTGGGCTTCTGCGGAGCCCAGACAATCCTGCAACTGCAGCTACCTCTTCCTCAGGCTTGGCTCACTTTGGCTCATTCCCCTCCCCTGCTACACTTGGCTAGCAGTCGCGTACCACCTGCCACGTGGCAAAGTACCACAGATGATACATGTACCACTGGTAGAAAAGCCCTGGTCTATATTGCCTTGGGCTTCCTATGATATTTAAAAGTCTCATACATTTATTATGGCATTATATAGAAAACATTTCTACAAATTTCCCAACTGTTTTTCCTCTGTTTTGTAGGAGATAAATGAATAGAGGGAGATAAATGAATCATATATTAGTATAAAACATAGTTTGTGATTATTAAAGTGAAGTTCTGGTTCAGTTGCCCACTATATAGTCTGATTTCACAGCTACTTGATTTTCTTTTTCATCCTTTTTAATGGGTCTATTGAAGTGGATTTGAGTGGAAGAAAGTTTATACCATATTAAATCTGCTGCTTTTAAAAGTACCATTTAATACTTTGTAGGGGGCTATGTTCCTGAAAACCAATAGAGACAAGGGTAACTAGAAGATATGATTTACTGTTGCACTTCAAAAATAACTCAGCTACCATGGATTGAAAAAGAGTGGGACAAAGAGAAGTGTGGGTCGGGGAGTATAGAAAATCATAGTTGAGACAGCCTGCCTATAAATGGGATGAGTGGTGGAATTTGGGTGAACTGGCACCCCTGAAAAGAACTGGACCTAGTCAAAATACTTTCCCATTTCTTGGATCCATTTCTAGTGGAAAAGTAATGAGATTTGCTTTTGCTGAAGAGAATATTTTCTTAAGCAATTCCAGTCTAGTTATGATTTCTTACTACTGTCCCTCCTTTTTTTTCTGCTATTAAAGAAATGGCCCTGCTGAACACTACTGATTTTTAACACTTCCATTTTAGGAGTTTGAAAACTGACTAATGATCTCTGGTAGACTAAACTTAAATTCAATATTCTCATTTCCTTTTGCAATATGATCATATGATCCTGTTCCTTCTAATGCACTTTGCCACACTTTCTTCTTCTCTGTTGTTTATCAAACGTAGAGACTTCCTGAATCTCATAAGTTCTCTTGCGGTTAATGCAGTAGCTTTCTTCTCCTCTTTTTAGTTGCACAATATTTTATCTTTCATTATCATCTTCATCCAGTGGTCTCAGCCTGTTACCTTTCAAATGGATTGGAGAGTACAGCTCTCACTTGGCTTGATCAGGCTAAGGGGTTGCAGAAATA